CGTCACTATGGTGCTGGCTGATGGCCTGCTCACTCCAGCCCAGTCCGTTCTTGGAGCCGTTCAAGGTATTGAGGTTGTGCAGCCGAGCATATCCAAGGGCACAGTGATCGGTGTTACTGATGCCATTCTCATCGTGCTGTTTTTTATTCAGCCGTTGGGGATCACGAAATTATCCTTCGCGTTTTCACCGATCGTGGTTATCTGGCTCGGGTTTAATGCGGTGATCGGTATATACAACCTCGTTAAGTATGATGCCGGGGTTTTCCAGGCTTTGAATCCTGGCCTCGCGTTCGAATTCTTGATCCGGAACAAAACAGAGGGATGGAGGATGCTGGGTGGTACTTTGCTCGCCTTCACGGGTGTGGAAGCCCTCTTTGCGGACCTAGGTGCCTTCAGCCGAAGAGCGATCCAGGTCAGCTGGCTGTGCTATACGTTTCCGTGCCTTTTGTTAGCATACATCGGCCAGGCAGCGTACATCAGCGTCCACCCAGGAGCATATTCGAATCCCTTTTTCAACTCGGTCCCACCTGGAACAATCTATCCAGCCTTGATCATCGCCATTCTAGCTGCTATTGTTGCATCGCAGGCCATCATTACCGCAACCTTCCAGGTAAGACAGTTGCAACCTTTTATTTGCGGAAAGTCCGACTCTGATAATGCTGGCAGCTTCTTGCGCAAGTGATGAAACTCTCCTATTTCCCTCAGATCAAAGTTATCCACACTTCCCAGATATTCCACGGGCAGCTCTTCATTCCCATCGCGAATTGGCTGCTAATGGTTGGAACTATCTTGATCGCATCGATCTATAACAACGTAAGTCGTGGTATCTTCCTTTCTCTGTTTCATTCTTTCACAGAAACTCACTCCATGTCCCTTAGACAACATCCTTGGGTAATGCGTACGGCGTATGCGTCATGTTCGTGACCTTTTTCGACACCTGCATGGTGTCTCTGGCTGCAATGTTCGTCTGGCGGATCAGCCCATACCTTGTCTTCCTCCCGTGGCTCACCGTTGCCTGCCTGGATGCTACGTATCTCTCGTCGGCGCTGACCAAGGTGCCTCAAGGTGCCTGGTTCACGCTCACGCTCGCTGCAATCCTTGCCATGCTGTTTCTTTTGTGGCGATACGGCAAAGAACAGCAGTGGTTCGCCGAAGCTGAGGACCGCTTCCCCACATCACATTTCATCGTATCCAGCCCAGATGGGCAAATGGCCCTGTCCAAGCGATATGGCGACCTTCCAGTCAGCGTCAACCGCGGTCTTGGGATCTTCTTCGACAAAGCGGGCGAAACGACTCCGATCGTGTTCAGCCAGTTTGCGCTTAAGCTCAACTCTTTGCCCGAGGTGATTGTGTTCTTCCATCTCCGCCCCCTCGAGCAACCTTCAGTCGCCGCTGAGAATCGAATTACCGTGTCGCATTTGGCCATTCCAAATTGTTACCGGCTGGTTGTTCGATACGGATATAATGACGAGATCATCACACCCGACTTGGCGAGCGTGATCGTTGACCAGGTCCGCAAATATCTAATGTCGAGAAGCGCCAGCGTGCCCTTAAGCGAAGAGGGTGAGGAAAAGGATTCTGTGACCCCTGACAGTCCGACGGCGGAGGGCAGCAGAGACGCCCGCGCCTCCGTCGGTTCTGAAATCGCTAATCTGGAAGCGGCATATTCACACAAAGTGCTCTATATTGTGGGGAAGGAGCAGATGAAAATCAAGCCAGACACAGCGCTCGTCCGAAAATCCTTGCTACACGTCTTTTTATGGATCCGGGATAACACGAGAAACAAAATGGCCAACCTCCGGCTGCCAACAGATAAGCTGATTGAAGTAGGATTTCTCAAAGAGATATGAGTGTGGCGATAAGTTGTCTAGTAGCCTTAGGGCGATCGTGGATTGGAAATACACGTACCTCAGGCGAGGTTGTGAGCTCAAAACCAATCATGTTAAATAGACAATAGACACCGTCCTTCTTTTAGTAATGGAGATGGTGTTAACTAGGAGGCTGCCTGCTATGGAGAGTCTTGGACTCGATTTCATTGATTTATTCACACTATTCCGCTGCTGCTCGCGGTGATCCCCTCGGGCAGCATTGTCGAGTCCACGAGCTGGAATCCCACCAACAAGATGATCTTTCACATCTGGAATGGCTGCGATTGGGAGTATATTGTCAGTCCCGACGACTGCAAGAGTGAGATCCAGCATCTCATCAATTATAGTGATGGCAATGAAGCGGTCGAACCGCTGAACTTTCGATAAATTCCAACGCTGAAAGTTCATTATAACCTTCTACGTAATCATCGCCAGGGCTGCCAAAATATAGGCATAAAATCTCATTGTAGAAAGAAAGGTTTCACGGTGATAAGTGGACCGTATCCCTTTCCTCAGGGCTGCTCCCGAGGCCGAAGGAGAGGTCGATCCAGAGTCGAACTAATAGATCCAAATTTAGAGAACTATGACCAAAATAGTCTGTGTGAGATAAATTGCTAATCCTCAGACTTTTCGTGGTCAGATCGGGAAAAACAGCACTTTGTCTAACCGTTCCGTTGTCACGGAGGACTATCCTTCCGAACATGTACTAAGAACGTTGGGCGGAATTTAGAATTCCGCGCTCGAATATCGCATACGTTTGGTTGGGGCGAAAAGATAGAAAACTTATCGATCAGTAATCAGCCCGACTGCGAAGGATTTACGTAGGTAGTGTCTAGGCATGGATAATAATGCAGCGAAAAGTAAGCATAAGAGTTTAAACTTCATATTTTCTACAAGCTTCGACCCACTCTGCTAAGTCTAAATGGGACGGTAAATCCACAGTCCAAAATTACAAGAAGCCTCATTAATACAAGCAAATATTACCGGTTATTCTAACGGTGTTACAGCCGGATCCTGAATAACCTCTCCGATTGGTCAATAGCAGTAGGTACACTATGTTCCCCCTTAGTGCTCACTCAGATTAGACTTACTATCCCATTGTTGATTGATATAATCTGTCGTAGCAAAGCTTTGTTGTAGCTGAAGTGGCTTCTCTTGCCTAGCATGGACTACCAAAGACGAGAGTCATGTCGTGTAAAGGGGCGGAAGTTTAAAATGGCCTATAACTACTATACATCGAGATTTCGTGCTAATACAAAGTTGTAATGATACAACTCGGGACAACGGGACACATGGGATCCGCTTGATACATCAAGAGCCGCAGAACTATATACCATGGCATGTCTGTATTGCAAATCTAACACTGAATCCGTATCCCATATTAGGCTTATGCCGCTCACCTTATACTAGAACCGTAAGGATTTTTACAGTCATTTTCAACTCGTCATCCAACGGATTTTGGCAATTTGGGCAATTTGGGCAACTAGAAGCCTGTCTTCATGGCCTAGTAATACGTTATCTCCTTTTACATACAATTATTTCGCACCCCTTGAACCATGAAGCCGCACCACATGCCATCGACAGTGAGAACTTCAGCAAGCCCCGCTGATGATGTCCGCCGCAGAACAAGCAAGGCTTGTGATCGCTGTAGATTGAAGAAAACAAAGGTAAGGGAGTCATCCCGCCCCTGCTATACTGTCCACTTGAGTTTCGTGGTGATTTCGTCTGACATATTAAGTGTGACGGAGCCATACGTTGCTTAAAATGCCAAGCCGATGATGCCATTTGTATATATGGCGAACGGAAAAAAGCGCACGATAAAGTATATCCTAAAGGGTAAGCGCGACCATTTCTAACCCTCAACTCCTGGCTTGGGAAGATTTTGCTTATTCAATAGATATGCACAGCTTCTAGAGCAACAACGAGGGTGGCTTGTTAATGGCATTCGAAAGTTGTATCGATGCATGCAGACCGGTGAAGGCTGGCCTGCAGACCCATTGAAGCACGGAGCCAACCGCCACCCTCTCACACACGATATACTCACTGCTTTAGGTGTCTTGGATCCAGACCAAAGGCTAGGTCGCGAAGAACATGGGGCAATGCAACAAGGGTTGGGTAAACACGTGGATGAATGCACGCAGCCATCGAAATTCTCCCATAACCCTCATAGCTGCGCTCCCATCCAGATTTTGCCAATGCCTCACGATCTCACTGTATCCTCACCAGAGCACCAAGTTGAAGGCACAAATACTGATCTCGACCTTACCATTTCGGGTGCGCAAAATTTCGATACCACAGGAATTGATGATCCTCTTCGGTTGTTTCCAAATAGCAGTTCCTATACATTTGGTGAGGCTAGCTCGACAACACATGATGGCAGTCTTGTCGATATCTTCAACAACGATTTTCAGATGAAGAGCACGATCAGTTACTTTTCTGAAAGCAACTGCATATCTACAGATCCTGAGAATGATGTCGATCGCCTGAACCCACCCGGGGACGCAAGAATAGTTGAGACATGGCCAATGTTGACGGAACCCTTTGGGGGCCCTTTTATTTTACAAACTTCTCTTCCGAATCCTTTGTTCAATAGCTTTGCTCAATCTTTGATTTGATGTCTTGGGTTCGTTCATTTTTACTCATGTATAGTATAGTTTTAGAATCCACAGATCTCGAAAATGTATTGAGTTCTTTTCAATTTTTCCATATCGATCTAAGGAACACTTCCAAGGCCGTTCCATATACAAATGATTATTACATCGGAATATAAAACACCTTTCAAACTACTCCGTATGAAACCCTAGTCCATGCCCTCGGCTAGATCAAGTCAGAGAGATCCGAATATTTCGGGCCGGATGTGTCGTCTCCGGTTGTATTTGACCCACACCTAGGTAATATGACAGCCTTGTATTTTATATTCGTCTAAATGCTATCCTACGTTCAATACTGCAGTTCATAGGGGATTTGCACATGTATTCCAGTGTATGATTTGTGTTCTGTGTAAATCTCTGGGGTATAGGTCTACGGAGATCCACGGAAAGGAATTTATAAGCTGTGAATGCTAGCAATTTTAAATAGACTGCTCCTTCTCGCTTCTAGAAGCATACTTACCTGTATATTATCTCATTAATCATGTCAGTCATCGGGGGAATACCTCCTCTGAATAACCCGCAGTACCAGCAGCGTCTGGGAACCGGGCTTGAAACGAACGATGATTCTTCGTCAACTCAAACCAAGATGGATGAATCGGACAGTGAAAAGCTAGGTGAAATGGACGAAGAAGTTCAGGAGATGGTGAGGCAGCTCACTCGTCACTCCACTCGTTTCTCTTCGTCCCAAACGAAGAACCCCTTCTTTGAGGAAGATAAGGAAACCACTTGGCATCCTGATAGTCCATTCTTCAAAGCTAAAGATTGGATTCGAGCCCTCATTGCAGCCCAGTCACAGGATCCTGAGCGATTTCTACAACGCTCGGCGGGCGTTGCTTTCAAGAACTTGCATGTGCATGGTTTCGGAAGTCCAACCGACTATCAGAAGGATGTTTTCAATGCTGTTTTGAGTATTGGTGGCCTTGTTCGCAACCTTGTCGGTAGTGGAAAACAGAAGGTACAAATCCTCAATAACTTTAATGGTCTTATACGAAGTGGAGAGATGCTAGTCGTCCTGGGTCGACCTGGAAGGTAAGTTCGCAAGAACACGCGATCTTTCAGCCCCTAAAATGTCTAACCCAAAACCAGCGGGTGCTCAACCTTTTTGAAAACCATTGCCGGCGAGATGAACGGCATCTATGTCAATGATGAGAGCTATATAAACTACCAAGGTACACCATAAAGTTAACGGACGATATTTGCAAGACAGTTAACAGGACAACAGGAATTTCCGCCCCAACGATGCACAAGCAGTTCCGTGGAGAAGCCATCTTCAGTGCCGAAACCGATGTTCATTTCCCCCAACTCACGGTGGGCGAGACCTTGACATTCGCTGCCCTGGCACGCGCGCCTCGCACGCGATTCGAAGGCCTGACTCGGACGCAATACGCTGAACACCTTCGTGACGTGGTGATGACTATGTTAGGTCTGCGGCATACATTCAACACTCGAGTCGGTAATGACTTTGTGCGAGGCGTTAGTGGAGGTGAGCGCAAACGAGTGAGTATTGCAGAGGCCATCCTTAGCGGAGCCCCTCTTCAGTGCTGGGACAACAGTACTCGAGGCTTGGATAGTGCCAATGCGCTGGAATTTTGCAAGAATCTTCGTTTGATGAGTGATTATGCGGGCACCACGGCTTGTGTTGCAATTTACCAAGCTTCGCAGAGTGCCTACGATGTGAGATTATACGGAGAACGTGTCCCAACTTCCGAGTATCGACTAATGCCGTCTTTCTCGTTTAGGTCTTTGACAAGGTTGTTGTGCTCTACGAGGGTCATCAGATCTACTTCGGTCCCACTGGCGAGGCTCGTGAATTCTTTACCAACATGGGCTTTGACTGTCCTTCACGCCAGACCACAGCCGACTTTCTTACTTCTTTGACTAGCCCAACCGAGCGTCGAGTTAAATCAGGATTTGAAGGCAAAGTGCCTCGCACACCTGTTGAGTTTGCGCAGCGATGGCAGAGTAGCCAAGAATGCGCCCGCCTCCTGCAGGACATTGATGCATTTGACAAGGAACACCCGATCGGTGGTAACTCTTTGACCACTTTTAGTGAAGCACGCCGCCTGATGCAGTCAAAGCAACAGTCAGTCCATGTTCTCTGCTTTGTATATCTGGGGTTTATTGCTAACACTCAGCATTCAGGCGCCCTAAATCTCCCTACACACTCTCCGTCATGGAGCAAATCAATCTGAACTTAAAGCGTGGATTCCAGCGACTTCGGGCTGATATGACTTTGACGTACTCGGCCCTTTTCGGTAACTTCTTTATCTCTCTCATTTTGGGGAGCGTATTCTACAACCTCCCCTCGGATACATCCAGCTTCTACTCGCGAGGAGTTCTTCTCTTCTATGCGGTTCTGCTTGCCGCCTTCGCTAGTGCCCTTGAGGTATGTCAAGGAGTCATCCAAGGTCTCAGTAACCATCGCATCAGTTCTAACGCTAAAGTTATAGATCCTAACACTCTACGCCCAAAGACCCATTGTGGAAAAGCAATCTCGATACGCCTTCTATCACCCTTTTACGGAAGCAGTGGCATCCATGCTATGCGATCTTCCGTACAAGTTGACCAATTCGGTGACATTCAATCTCCCGCTTTATTTCTTATCCAACCTCAAGCGTGAACCAGGAGCCTTTTTCATTTTCTGGCTCTTCTCGATAGTGACAACATTGACCATGTCGATGGTGTTTCGCACGTTCGGTGCCGCATCGCGGTCCCTCGCCCAAGCACTCGTGCCTGCCGCTCTTCTTATCTTGGGTTTGGTCATTTATACAGGTTTCATCATTCCCACGAAAGATATGCTTGGATGGTCTCGCTGGATGAACTATATCGACCCAATTGCCTACGCTTTTGAAAGCATGATGGTTAATGAATTTCGAAACAGGAAGTTCGCCTGTACTGCTTTCGTCCCCTCTGGACAGGGATATGAGAATGTCGATCCCATCAACACCATTTGCACCACAGTTTCATCTACTGCGGGAGATACCACCATTGATGGAGATGCTTATCTGAGAACTGCATATGCTTATACCAATGGCCATTTATGGCGCAACCTTGGTATTGTATTCGCTTTCATGATTTTCTTCATGGGTGTTTATCTCGTGGCTACAGAATATATCTCCGAGGCCGCCTCAAAAGGCGAGGTTCTAATTTTCCGTAGGGGCAATCAGCCTAAGCCTCAACAAGGAGACTCCGAAACCACGCCAGATGCAGCCTACCGGGCGGACGAAGAAAATGAGAATGCTGGTGCCAATATTCAGCGTCAAACTGCCATTTTCCAGTGGCAAGACCTTTGTTACGATATCAAGATCAAGACTGAGGAGCGTCGAATTCTCGACAATGTAAACGGATGGGTAAAGCCCGGCACAGCCACCGCATTGATGGTAAGTGGTATAGGTCACAGGGACTTGAAGTATGTTTACTAACTATCGTCAAGGGCGTTTCCGGCGCGGGAAAGACTACGCTGCTTGATGTTCTTGCAACTCGCGTCACTATGGGTGTCGTGACTGGCTCTGTTTTAGTGGACGGACAGCCACGAGATGATTCATTCCAGCGCAAAACCGGTTATGTCCAGCAGCAAGATGTACATTTGCCTACCTCCACGGTGCGGGAAGCTCTTCAGTTCAGTGCCTTGTTGAGACAACCTGCCCATCTCAGTCGCCAAGAAAAGTTGGATTACGTTGAAGAAGTACTTGAATTGCTTGGTATGCGGTCATACGCAGATGCAGTGGTTGGCGTTCCAGGCGAAGGTATGTCATTTCCAATCGTTATGTGGAGTACGCAATTTTACTCTATCTTGATTACTGATGGCTTTCAGGATTGAATGTTGAGCAAAGAAAGCGCTTGACCATTGGCGTGGAACTGGCAGCCCGACCTCAACTATTGCTCTTCTTGGACGAACCTACTTCCGGTTTGGACAGTCAAACTTCATGGTCAATCCTGGATCTGATTGAAACTCTCACAAAGCATGGACAGGCCATCCTTTGTACTATCCATCAACCGTCTGCAATGCTGTTCCAACGGTTTGATAGGCTGATGTTCCTTGCTAAAGGAGGACGCACTGTATATTTTGGACAAATTGGTGAAAACTCCTCGATCTTGGCGGACTATTTCATCCGTAATGGTGGCCATGCATTATCTGAGGGCGAGAACCCAGCCGAATGGATGCTTGACGTGATTGGTGCTGCTCCTGGCTCTCATAGCGATATTGACTGGCCAGCGGTTTGGAATGGCAGTCCCGAAAAGGAGGCTGTTATTAACCATTTGGGAGAGCTGAAGACGACCTTTTCTCAGAAGCCCAAGGAAGCGGAAACGGACTCAGATTATCGGGAATTTGCGTCTTCGACGAGCGTTCAGCTTCGGGAGTGTCTATCTCGAGTCTTCTCACAGTATTGGCGCACCCCGTCGTACATTTACTCGAAGCTCGTTCTCTCGATTCTCACGGCCCTTTACAACGGATTCTCCTTCTTCCATGCAAAAAATACCCAGCAAGGCCTTCAAAACCAGATGTTCAGTATCTTTATGTTGATGACTATTTTTGGAAATCTTGTGCAGCAGATCATGCCGAACTTCCTTATCCAACGATCTATCTTTGAGGTCCGCGAGCGCCACTCCAAAATGTACTCATGGCAGGTGTTCATGACGTCGAACATTCTGGTTGAGCTACCCTGGAACTTCCTTGTTGCAGTGTTGATGTTCTTCTGTTGGTACTACCCGGTTGGCCTGTACCAAAATGCCGAGTTGACCAACGCTGTACATGAGCGTGGCGCGTTGATGTTCTTATACTTGCTGCTTTTCTTGTGGTTCACATCTACGTTCGCGCACATGGTCGTTGCAGGTGTGGAAAACGCGGAAACAGGAGGTAACATTGCTAATTTGCTCTTTTCTCTTCTTCTACTTTTCTGCGGGTACGTTATTTGTTGCCTTCCATCTTCATGTTGAATTTTACTTACATTTCTTTTTCTTAGTGTCGTCTCCACACCTGCAGCCATGCCTGGGTTCTGGATCTTTATGTACCGCCTTTCTCCATTCACCTACCTTGTATCCGGCATGCTCTCCACGGCTGTCAGTGGCACAAAAGTTACATGCAGTTCGATTGAAACACTCATCTTTGACCCTCCGGCAAACCAGACTTGCTCTGATTACTTGAGCCCATATGCCCTCCGGACCGGAGGTTATATTGAGAATCCTGATGCAATGAGCTCGTGCGCGTATTGCACTATGTCCTCTACCAATACCTTCTTGGCCCAGGTCTACTCTTACTGGGATGATGCGTGGCGAAACTTTGGGATTATGTGGGCCTACCTGGTGTTCAACGTGGTTGTTGCACTTGGTATCTACTGGTTGGCTCGGGTTCCCAAGAATAACAAAACTAAAGGCAGATCCTGAATGGTAGCTGTCCCAGAATTGAGGACAGGCATTTACCTTTCATAACGCCTCGTCCAAAATGATGTTGTCAGCTTTGTGGATGGTCACCGCCTTCTATCTCTCAACGTGCCGGTATTCATCGATTTTTTATTTTGTATTTATTTCTTTTTCTTCATCTGAACGTTATATCAGATAAGAGTGTGTGCTCTCTTTTTTTCAATAGAATAGAATGGTTTGAGTTTTGTCATTGTTGTGCAACTGTTTGATACATCATGTTATATCGTAACGAAAGACTAAGGTTGGACAATAAAATCAATGTATATCGCGATCTTTATACAATGTAGAAGACAGTCCTAACAACAATATTTGGAAGCATTCCGTCCTATCTTCCTCTCCAATCTGATGGTCACTGTATCTGTAAAGTCAAGTGTCAAGCTCCAGGCTCAAACACTTTAGATGTACTCCCAGGTGGCTGGGACAGTAGAGTTGTCAGCCACAGCAAGAGCATCGAAGCCAATGCAGTCAGAAACACTGCCAGAGGGAACAGTGGCATTCTGCAGAGCAGCGTAAACCTGCCACTTAGGGGCGGCAGCGTCCCGGCGAGAGCGGCGGTAGGTAGTAGTGCCGTTGGTAGGGCAAGCCATGAAACCGGAGGCACCCTGGCCTTCGTAGGACCAGTGGCCGAAAGAGTTACCAGGGGTGTAGGTAAAGGGACCGTCGGAGGAGCCAGCAGGCTCGTAGGCGGAGTGGGGAGCGGTGAAGCGAAGGGCACCCTTGGGGTCGACGAAGATAGCCTGGCCACCAGGGACCGTGACGTCCTGTAGAAATCAGTAACTGTGGAAACATGATATACCTTGCCCACTCGGGAAAGTCAATACGCCGGAAGACATACCAGGAAGTGGCCTCCTGTGATCACAGTCTCGTTGGTCTGCTTGCAGCCGGGAATGCCCTCGGGGCAGTAAGACTGAGCGTTACCGCCGAGGTAGAAGTAGCTACCGACGGCGTTGAGAGGCAGAAGATGGATGGGAGAAGCGGAACGAGCGGAGATGACGCCGAAGGAGGCATCAGAGCCCTTGGCCTGCTTAGCCTGCTTGCCGGGCAGGGCGGCGACGAGAGGGACGAGAGAAAGAAGGGCGGAAATCTTCATTTTGAAAGGAGAGTGTGAGTGGAAGTAATTGCTGTTTGAAAAGCGAGAGATGCTTCCAATTCAACGGGGCCCAGCTCATATAAGAATGGAACCCGGAGGGACGTGCTTGACCAACTTCGTGAGCGGGTCAACCTGCACCGAAGTTATAGAAGATCGACATCATAGAGGTCGGGTACGGAGGGAAGCAGATAGATTAGAGGTGCCTAAGCTTAGCCACTCCGAATATAGAGTACACTTTTAACGAAACCCTAATTGGATAGCAATGGACCCGATGCTTAGCCACTTGCAATTCTGTCCATTCAGGGTCCCAAAATGTAGAACATGTCAACACTTGCAGAATCTCCACGGATCAACACATAACAGTAGTCCGGCGAAATACAGGTCATTCATGTATATAGCAATGATCTTTTTTTTTTTTTTTGCTGCCTTTTGGTAATTAAAATACTCTCTTCTATGGGTATTTTGTCAACTGTCAGAGGGAAAAAAGACGGTATAGATGGCGATCTCAATGAAGAACATGAAGATAGCATGTTTCAGGCAGAAAGGTAAGTGAAGATCGACGGGTCGGACAGGAATTCCTCAAGAAACGGAATAACGCTGGACATCCACTGAAATACGCAGAATTTGATAGGTAACTCCACGAGGTCTCCACCATGTCTCAGGACAAACCGGTGCTTTACATCAGTGGCTTCATAGAAATACTCTTAAGTTTAGTTGTGCCGTCTGAGCTGTCGATTTACTTCCAAAGACGAGGATAATCGGTCTCGACTTCATATAATTGCGACGGGAGTTAATCTAATGTCTTTATTTCTTAATTTCCTCATCCTATAGTTCATAGTGAAGATATTTACTCGATCCAGGGGCACAGCCACAGATAATGGCTTTGCCACGGGGTGTCTCAAGTTGCATGTAACCTACCTATTTGGGCAAATCCAGGTACTCCGTACTTTCGAGTTTGTTTGGCCTAAGCAATGAGTCTGTTCCCATCACCATTGGCCAATTTACATGTACTATGGGTTCCGGGCGTCATATGAGGTAGACACGTAGCATGTAACTATGTGCTGACTGCGATAAAAGATAATCTAAAAGATTCACTAAATACAACTAGAATATTATCACATCGTCAGCCAATGACTGGTGGCCAGGTAGTTATGCGTGTGGTGATTTCCACTAGGGGTAGGCAAGCTCCGTATTCCAACATAGATGTCTATAACAATATTGTTACTTTGAGGCTATTGACTAGAGCATAAATATGCTTACCCTGGACCTCCTATGCTCCAGTGCTGTGACGCTCATCTGATACGTGAAGTCAGGTGACCGTCCCTTTTCTCGTCCTGCACGCGTCGGGATCAACGCAGCTTCATGCTCCATTGGAGATTCTGCAGAATTATGGACGTCGACTGAATGGCCTCCCCACATGCCAAGGCCAAAATCTCGACAGTCAAGCTCTCTAACAAGGCCGCCAGCACGCGTCGCAGCGACGCTCCCCAAGATTCCACCGAAGGATCAACATCAGAGAGTACCTGGGGACTACCATATGACATGGACACTCCATCTAGTGGCGATGAATCGGTTGAGAACGAGGCCAATTTGAAACTGCTCCCCTTGAAACAAGGGAAACCAACACGAGACCCGCATCCCTCGAGCTCCAAATCAACCGACCCGAATCCCACGATTGATGTCCCCGAAGGCGAGCGCGATTTCTCAAAACGAATTGAACAGTTTCTGGGCGCGGATCGCACACCACTTTCGGACTCCTTTGATACGGACTTAGAGGGGGACTCGGCCAGAACGTCTCTGGCCCTGAGCGACGATGACTGGGGCCACCCATCGGACAAGGGCTTGTTGCTGAAAACTGGTGGCGAGGAAGCCAAGGGCTTCAATTGGAGAGCGCTGTTCCGTTTGCATTCCTGGTGGAACGTTGCTGCGTTTCTCATAATAGCCATAATAGTGGTATGGCTGTCAATAAGAGGCTTGCCATGGTCCTCGACTGGCGCAGCAATCAGTGAAACTGTGAGTGCTCCTTAGTCCGCTATTCTTTGCCATTGTAACGTGTCTAACGATTACGTGTGCAGCAAACGATTCCCTGGTACCCTACTCCCCTCGGCGGAACAAGCGCGGAATGGAAGGAAAGCTATGTCAAGGCGCAGGAAATGGTCAGACGGATGTCTCTTCCTGAAAAGGTGAACGTCACTACTGGAACAGGCTGGCAGATGGGACTTTGTGTTGGAAATACAGGTAAGGCCTGATTGACTATCCGCCCATCACCATGGCATACGCTGATACCGATTCGTTTTCTCTAGGACCCGCTGAGCTCGTTGGTTTCCCTTCCCTTTGCCTCCAAGATGGGCCGCTCGGGCTCAGATACGCACGCAACATTACCGCATTTCCCGCGGGAATTACAACAGGCGCTACATGGAACCGCGAATTGATGCGAGCTCGTGGGTTTGCTCTCGGAAAGGAAGCGCGGCTGAAAGGTGTGAACATCATACTCGGTCCTGCCATGGGCCCGCTGGGCATGATGCCTGCGGGGGGTCGCAATTGGGAGGCATTTGGGTCAGACCCCGTTCTGCAAGGAGTGGCTGCAGCGGAAACGATTCACGGCATCCAGCGAAACGGAGTCATGGCCACAGCCAAACACTTTGTTGGGAACGAGCAGGAGCATTTCCGCCAAGCATTCGAATGGGGCACTCCAACTGCCCTCTCATCGAACATTGATGACCGTACTCTGCACGAGGTTTTTGCCTGGCCGTTCGCTGAGAGCGTGCGTGCCGACGTTGCTAGCATCATGTGTTCATACCAGATGGTCAACAACACATATGCCTGCGAGAATAGTAAATTACTCAATGGAATCCTCAAAGATGAAATGGGATTCCAAGGGTTCGTTCAGTCGGACTGGCTAGCCCAGCGTTCGGGCGTTGATAGTGCCATCGCAGGCCTGGACATGAGCATGCCTGGAGACGGCCTACACTGGACCGATGGTATTCCCCTGTGGGGAGGTGAATTGACTCGCGCAGCACTGAACACATCTGTCCCCATGGAGCGATTGAACGACATGGTGACCCGCATCGTGGCAGCCTGGTACCATTTCCGACAAGATTCTTGGGAGCGACCTCCACCAGATGGAGAAGGCGGTCCAAACTTTTCCTCCTGGACTCAAGAGAGAATCGGCCGTCTACATGAAGGCTCACCGGATAACGATGCTACCGGGGTGGTCAACAGATTTGTCAATGCACAAGGAAGCGGTGCGGACGCCCATTCCCTTGTGGCTCGTCAGATTGCTGCAGAAGGCACTGTTCTTCTCAAAAACGTCAACAACACCCTCCCACTCTCACGAGAGGTGACTGGCGCTGGTGGAAAATACAGGGTTGGTGTCTATGGCGAAGACGCAGGCCCCGGACAAGGCCCAAATGCCTGTGCTGACAGAGGTTGTAACCAAGGAACGTTGGCCTCGGGTTGGGGCAGTGGTGCTGTGGAATTCCCGTACCTGGTGAGTCCATGGGAGGCACTGCAAGCTGTATGGTCGAAGGACACAATTGATCTTCAAGGTTACTTGACGAACAACGTTGGATCCCAGGACCTCGCAGATCAAGATCTCTGTTTGGTCTTCGTGAATGCAGATGGAGGTGAGGGCTTCATCCGTAGTGATGGCATTGATGCGGATCGCAATGACCTTTTCTTGCAGAAGAATGGCACTGAACTTGTGGAAGGCGTTGCCAAGCACTGCGGAAGTGGCCAAGGCCAAACCGTTGTTGTTGTTCATTCAATTGGCCCTGTTGTTATGGAGTCTTGGATTGACCTTCCTGGCGTACACGCCGTGCTCTATGCCAATCTACCAGGCCAGGAGAGTGGAAACGCTTTGATAGATGTGCTTTTTGGCGACGTTGATGCCAGTGGGCGGCTTCCCTACACTATCGGCCGAAGCTTGGAGGACTACGGTCCAGGAGCCCAAGTGCTGTACGAGACTCAGGACCCGGTCGTCCCACAAGTCAACCTCAGCCAGGGTCTCTACATCGATTATCGGTATTTCGACCGATACAATATAACCCCGCGCTTCGAGTTTGGCTTCGGTCTATCGTACACAACCTTTGACTATACTGCCGTCAGCATCGAAAAGCTGCAGAAAAAGACCCAACACCCATCCAAAAGACCAAAGGACGAAGTCGAGCCACCTGCGTACGACAGCAGACCACCCCACCCTTTCAGTGGTCTGTTCCCTCAAGAATTCCGCGTTCTTCGCAAATACATATACCCCTACATTGATACTACCGATGGAGCTGGTCCCGGTCCATACCCATACCCAGATGGATACAATAAACGCCAAAAATCATCCCCCGCAGGCGGCGGACCAGGCGGAAACCCCTCCCTTTACGAGCCTATGCTCGAACTCTCCGTCGAAGTAACGAACACAGGCACCCGACCCGGCCAAGACGTGGTGCAGGTATACGTCTCCTTCCCAGAAGATGTCGCCGAGCACCGCGGGCTGGGTTGGTTGCGCGAAACGATCGAGTTCCCAGACCGGGTACTACGCAACTTTGAGAAAATCCTGTTGAAGCCCGGGGAGACGACGACTGTCAAAATGACGCTGACTCGTAAGGATCTCAGCTACTGGAGTGTTCGTTCTCAGAACTGGGTGCTTCCCACTGAGGGCAAGTTCCGTATCTGGGTTGGGAGAAGTTCAAGAGATCTACCGCTTGTGGTCGAGTTTTAGAAAGTGACCGAGGTTGTTGTTTCATAGACTGGGCATATATCTTAATTATATGGATTTACGGGACCAATACAATTGAAAATATTACACATGCAGATGCAATTGACGGGGACTAGCCCCCTACTAACATATGCAACCCACCAAGGCTATGTATGAACCTTAGGGGCCATTAGACCAGAGACTGGGAAAGGAGGCAAACATAAAACGATCTAGGTTACTACAGACTGAATCGACACGAAACGAAGTCAAGAAAATGAAATATCGAAGAACGTTTGACAGAACTTTTGCTTTCGCATGGTAGGTGCACATGCACTGAAGTGTCTATCTGGAACACATGTACAATACTGGCGAAGGCTATACAACTGAATCTATGCCAGAAAGAAAACAGGTAGATCAACTGAAACAAGATATAAACGCCGAAACACCGTCTATCAGATTCAATGCAGACCAAAACATTAACATGGTGCTCATGATGCAATGAAATGGCTGGAACCAGCCATCCCCCTGCGATAACGATAAATAATGCTCTGAGAGGCGTGATTAGGCCTCATCGTCGGTATCCTGGGGCTTGGGGGTGCCCTTGGGGGAGTTCAACTAGAATATATTAGTACAGTTCGATAGTAACGCAGCAGGATAGGAAACTCACCCATTCGATGTGACGAAGACGGCGGCGGGCCTCACGGTCCTTGAGCTGGGCACGGGTCATCTTCTTCTTCTTCTTAGCGCGGAACTTGAGTTCGCCTTCATCTCCAGAGTTAACGGCAGATGGGGCAGCGCTGGTGGTAGCCGAGCCAGTGGCAGGGGTGCCAGGGGCAGAGGGCGTGTTCGGAGCGCTGTCCTCGAAGCGGTCCAGGCTGACGGCGTTGTTGGTACGGCTGACGACACGTCCGTCGGCGATGTGCAACTGCTCAGGGCAGAGGGCGCCCACGAACTCTTCGTTGTGAGAAATCATAACAACGCCACCCTTGAAGTCACGAATGGCCACAGCCAGACCACCCAGGGAGTCACGGTCCAAGAAGTTAGTCGGCTCGTCCAGGACCAGCAGATGGGGGTTGTTCCACATGGCGCCGGCCAGCACGACCTTGACCTTCTGACCACCGGACAGACCGGAGATCTCGTTGTGGTTGGCGATCTCGGGGTCCATGCCGATATCCTCGAAGTGCTTGGAGATGGTCTTGGGGTCAAGAACACGGAAACCGAGACCTTCACGCGAAGCCTCGTGATCATCGAACTCTTGGACCATCTTGAAGAAGCCGAGCTCCAGTAAGGTCTCGCGTGAGATCATGGTGTTGTTCTTGGGAAGGAGACCAACCCATTTCCTGTGGATGAGATTAGTAAAGATATACCAAAGAAAAGGCACGATAAAGGTCAACTTACACCTCATACTGGAAGGACTTCTTCCACTTCTGGCGACCAATCAAGGCTTCGATACGGCGGGCACCGCGACCGTCACCCAAGTCAACGTGCTTCTCGAGCTGAGCCTTGTCGGCTTCAGTCAAGATACGTGTCTGCTTAAGGAACACTTCACGGTCATCACCGTTGGCATAACGCCACTGGAGGTACTGACTGGGGGTCTTCTCCAAGTGCATCTCCACGTGCTCAAGAGCGTGCTGCTTGATGTAACCAATACGCAAATTGGGGTGCTTCTCGACCTTGCCACTCTGGGGAATGGTTTCACCAGTCAGGATCTTGATGAAGGTGGACTTTCCAGCACCGTTACCTCCGATGATGGCCACGCGGGAGGAGAGGGTAAGTGACAACGAGGCATCATGCAGAGATGGCTTGGGGGCATTGGGGTAGGTGAAAGAAACGTTGCTCATGCGAAGAATGGCACGGGTCTGGGACTTGATACCAGATAGAATACCGGGAGGAGGGAACTTGAACTGCACATTGGAGGCAGACAGGGTGTAGTAACTCTTTCCCTCGGGCTTGACCTTGACAAAGTCGGCAAGGTTACCCTTGTAGGAAACGAGCTTCTTGCCCTCGTAGTGGTAGATGTCTGTGCAGACCTCATCCAGGAAGCCAGAGTCGTGACTGACGATCAAACTGGTGATGTCAGTGTGCTTCTTGAGGTACTCCTGCAACCATTTGACGTTGGCCACATCCAAGTGGTTAGTCGGTTCGTCCAGCAGGAGGACATCGGCCTTCTGGAGCATGGCACGGGCCAGAGCCAACTTCATCTTCCATCCACCGGACAGGGAGCCCACAGGCTGGGACTGGCGACCCTCAGGGCCATCGGTGAAGCCGAACTCGAGGAGAACCTCGGCGATGTGCTCCTTGCCTTGAGAGGCAATCTTGGGATCCTTGGACACATACTCGAAAATGCTGAGGTCCGCATCCTCACCCTGGTTGTGCTCGACAAAGCAAGTGCGCACTTGGTCCTGAGGAGGGAAACCCTCGAGCTTGTCGTTGGCGATACTGCGCATCAAGGTGGATTTTCCAGCACCGTTGCGACCGCAGAGACCGTAACGGTGACCCTTGAGGAGGCGCAGCTTGGTGTGAGAGAGCAGTAGCATACCTCCGTAAGCGAGAGAGAAGTCGGCATTGACAATCTCCACCTCATTGGGGTCTTCGGGAGCAGGCTTGCCGTACTTGATCTCGTCCTCGGCAACGTAGTGGGCCTCGACAGCAGTAGCAACGGCAGTAGCCTTTTCCTCCGACATGAGACCACGGAGGTAAGGGGCAGTACAGGCTGGGATACGGTCGTACATGCGGCAGTTGATGTCCTCACGGATCATGCCGGCAACGAAGAACTTGACCGCCTCCTGCAGCTTCACGTCGCCAAAGCCAGCAAGGCCGCCCTGTTCCTGAATCTTGGCGTCCAACACAGTCAGGACCTCCTCAGGCGTGATCTTCATGATAGAACCAGTCGCGACATTGCTGTCACTCATAGCCTTTTCGATCACGTCGAGAGCGCGGGCCGACAATTCACGGACCTCGGGTAGAGAGGCACGGTCCTTGACGGACTTTACACCAGGCTGGAGCTTGGGAAGGAAAGTACGAGCCTCCATGGGGTCGTGAACCAGCTTGGTCAAGTTCTCCACAACGACCACGGTCTGGCGCAGAGTTTCTTGAGGAGTGGTGGGAGTGTTGAGGGACCGCTCGAGAAGAGGGGTGAGCATGGCCAACACAGGGGATGTGACAATGGCGACGAAAGTAGTCTGGGAGAGGGCGTGGATTGCCTTCTGGAGTGTCTGGGCAGAGGGTTGCTCCATGGTCTTAATCAGAAGCGGGATACGGGGGGCGACATCGTCGTTGGACAAGAGGGTGGTGAGGGCGTTCATGGTCTTGCAGGACTGCTTGGTCACTTCAGCCTTCAAGTCATGCATACCGGACTCGACGATAGGAATGAGCTCCTTCAGGGTCTTGCCCATTGCATCGCGCAGCAGGTCCTTTTGACGCTCTTCCTCCTTGGTGCCGTTGCCAAGTTGCGCCTTGACGGCCATCTTCTCAAGAAGCGAATAAGCGCCAACGAAACCCTGCCACTTACCAGAACCTTTGCTCAGGTAGCTCTCTAGGGCGGGCAGCAGGGCGTTGACCATAGCCTCGGGGCTGAGAGCCCCGAAGAGAGCGTCGATGGCGTACTGGGCAGCATCGCGTACGACAGCACCCTTGTCGGCCAGGGAATCCAGTGCAATGTTAAAGATGCCGCCATCGTGCATCAGGAACACGTATTCACTGAGAGGGAACTCGCGAGGGAAGCGCTCGAACAGAGCGCCAATGATAAGCATGGCACTCTCACGCTTGGCGCCATTCTTCTTATCAACGGCAGCCTTCTTCGTCTCGGCGAGAATGTCGTAGTTCAGGAGGCCTGCGCAACCCACGCTCTGAATGAGAAGGTTGGTCAACGCATATGCGCCATCGAGGGACTGCTGGGAGGACTCGGCGGAGAAGATAGTGTTGAGAAGGGACGAAATCTCTTCGGTAGTGGGGGGCACGCCGGAGGGGCCCTTTGCGACAACGGTCGGCATGGCGGTCTCAGGGGACACCGTGTGTGGCATTGTCCAGAGAATGAGGGGCTCAAGGGGTGAGCGTCGATATCAACGATATCGAGGAGACAGAAGTGAAGGGGCCTCGATGTGAGAGGGGCAACTCCTGGGGCACAAAGGGCGATCAGAGCGCAACTCGCGCGCACACACACACAGAGAATCGAGGATCAGGTGGAATCGCAGGTTCTATACAAGACGATTCTCAGACACCCAGATGACCCAAACACGAAAAAAAAAAAAAAAGCGAGGAGGGGAGAGTGAAGAATAATACTATCGCCGCTTGATTGCTGATCCACCCAAATTTTTTTTTGTTTTGCTGACTCAGCCAATCAGCGGGCGGCGCGGGACCAGATGACAAAGGCGGCTAACCGCATTGGTCATCACATTCTGCCTTGATGCCTTGGTGCCTCGAAGACTTGGTGTCGAGATATGGTGCCTTTCCTATGCCTTATGGCCTTGCAGTCTTGATGCCTCAGCTTCTGTCTCGGATCTACGTCACCCACATGTCGATGTACGCCAATTCCCGTATAGAAGTTCAATTGCATTGTCATTTCTGGTGTTCTCACCTGGTCATTCGTAGCTATTTTTGCTTCTACCTTCACGTCGGCTCCAACACGTATGGTCCAACTTAATCTGGAATATATATCTCCTCCACCGATAAGCGATCCGGAACATTTGGTTAACTCTCTGTTTACATATGTTGAGTGAGAGTTGTCTAATACTAACAAAGAGAAACACTGACTTAGACCCTAACGATCTATACAGGATTGTACTCCCAAACCACCTCATAAGTACTATACAGTCCTACACCTATGAATGCGCTAAATTTCAATACCACCTGACTCAGATTATATAGTTGAGTGGAAGAGGTAGTATTAGTTTACTTATTGCTCATAGCAGCTACAATTATAAGCATAATGTATAGACAGTTTTCCAAGCCGGTCAGCTTCCACAGCCGATGCCGCATGCAACCGCCACGGGCCTCGGTAGACTGCAACCCCCCCCTGTCCCCGCGTTCAACCGACGCATATAGGCCGATCACTGCATAAGTTCGGCTATTTTCCTCCCTCTTTTTCTTTCAATCTCGCGATACCTCAATTGCTGTGTTTTTTTCAGCTTCATCCCTCCCCGCGTTCTCTCCCGCCCCCGCAAAACTACCCCGGACCCATCAACACAATGGCCCTTTGGAGATCCACCCGCCACGCTTCCAAATTCGCCCAGGTGAGTCCAGAGGCCACTGCGAGAGACCGCCTCTAATTGATTCTAGGTGACGCGGCCCATCTTTTCCCGTCAATATGCCACTGAACCCGATCTGAAGACGACACTGAAAGACGTCATCCCCGCGAAGCGAGAGCTTCTCCAGAAGGTGAAGGCCCAGAGTGACGAGGCGATCGGGGATGTCAAGGTCGGCAATGTTATTGGTGGCATGCGGGGTCTCAAGGCCATGCTATGGGAAGGCTCTGTCCTGGACCCCGACGAGGGAATCCGCTTCCACGGCAAGACCATCAAGGACTGCCAGAAAGAGTTGCCCAAGGGCACCTCAGGCACAGAGATGCTCCCCGAGGCCATGTTCTGGCTGCTGTTGACCGGTCAAGTGCCCTCCACGGGCCAAGTTCGCGCCTTTTCGCGAGAGTTGGCCGAGAAGTCGGAGCTGCCGCCGCACATTCTTGACCTGATCAAGTCTTTCCCTTCTTCGATGCACCCTATGACCCAGCTGTCAATTGCCGTAGCCGCTCTGAACACCGAGTCCAAGTTTGCCAAGGCCTACGAGAAGGGCATTAACAAGGCCGAGTACTGGGAGCCCACATTTGATGACAGCATCTCCCTCCTCGCTAAGATCCCCCGAGTGGCTGCACTCGTCTTCCGCCCGAACGAAATTGATGCGGTAGGCACGCAAAAGCTTGATGCCGCTCAGGATTGGTCATACAACTTTGCAGAACTGCTGGGCAAGGGTGGCTCGCAGAACGAGGACTTCCACGACCTGCTGCGTCTGTATCTAGCCCTGCATGGTGACCATGAGGGTGGTAACGTGTCTGCCCATGCAACTCACTTAGTCGGAAGTGCTCTCAGTGACCCCTTCCTCAGCTACAGCGCTGGGCTTTTGGGTCTCGCCGGCCCACTCCACGGTCTGGCTGCTCAGGAGGTCCTCCGTTGGATCATGGCTATGCAGGACAAGATCGGCACCAAATTCAGCGACGAGGATGTTCGCACCTACCTCTGGGACACCCTCAAGTCGGGCCGTGTGGTTCCTGGCTATGGTCACGGTGTCCTGCGCAAGCCCGACCCCCGTTTTGAAGCTTTGATGGACTTTGCTGCCACCCGCCCTGATGTCCTGGCCAACCCGGTGTTCCAGCTGGTCAAGAAAAACTCGGAGATTGCTCCAGGTGTACTCACCGAGCACGGCAAAGTATGTTGATGCCTGGATTATCTAGACACATGAACTAACGATCTGCAGACCAAGAACCCTCACCCTAACGTTGACGCCGCCAGTGGTGTTCTCTTCTATCACTATGGCTTCCAGCAGCCTCTGTACTACACCGTTACCTTCGGTGTCAGTCGTGCCCTTGGTCCCCTTGTCCAGCTGATTTGGGATCGCGCTCTAGGCATGCCCATTGAGCGCCCCAAGAGCATCAACCTCCTGGGCCTGCTCAAGAAATAAATGTCATCCTGGTAGCCTGGTGCAACCTGATGCTTATTGACCACTGATGGTTCAATTGATGAATTCGATGCAAAGCGAGATGTTTTCTTTTATTTATGCTATTTTGTTGGTTAGACCACTGCTTGTTGACATAGACTGGATATCTGGCAAAAGTCCAATCAATATATGAGAATAAACCAGCCCTACAGTCTATTTTAGGATCTGACCGAACGTGGCTGATCTACCTGTAAACAGTTAATCTAGGCGTGCATATACATGTAACTGTATAAGCTGACCTGTCAACTCCCCACTTGGTCAACTGACCCTCTCTAATTTTCCATTGCCTAATCCTTTCCAGATCTCTTTGTATATTTAACTATAATATCTCCAGTATCTCGGGGCCCACCTTCAAACAATCAAGGTACAGAAAGGCCGTTATCGGCCTCGACTTTCCTGGAAACGGACGGAAACCACGTGACAGAACGAAAGCGATCGAATCACTAACTTCATTTCGCCAACTCCATCGGCCTTCAGCGGCCCCATTGGCCTTTGAGGTTCGCCCCAGGTCCCCACATGATGTAATACGCCTCGCTGACCAGTTTCCGGATGAGCGGTCAAAACTGGCTATCTCTGCTCAATTCATTCCTTACATCCCTTTCTTTTTCTTTCATCACAATGGCTCCCCTCAAGCTTAACAGTGCCAACCTTTCACAGATTTCCACCGCAGGCGACCAGGTGAAGGTCCCAACCTATCCCCGCGGCGATGCTGTCAAGGAGGGAATCGTTCATATCGGCATTGGTGGCTTCCACCGAGCTCACCTGGCTGTCTATGTTCACGAATTAATGCAAAACCATGGTGTGACGGACTATGCGATCTGTGGTGTCGGCTTGCAGCCCTTCGATGTCGCTATGCGCGATGCCTTGGGCTCGCAGGACCACCTCTACACTGTTATTGAGCGTTCGGCCAAAGGAAGCGCCGCCAACGTTGTTGGCAGCATTAACTCCTACCTCTTTGCGCCCGATGACCGCGAGGCCGTGATCGCCAAGATGGCCCACCCTGATACCCACATTGTGTCGCTCACCATCACTGAGAGCGGCTACTACTACAACGAGAACACCCACGAGCTTCAAAGCGAGAACCCCGACATTCAGTTCGATCTCAACCCAGCCAACGATAAGGCACCCCGTACCACTTTCGGCTTCCTCTACGCTGCCCTCGCACGCCGTCACCAGCAAGGCCTCAAACCCTTCACCGTCATGTCGTGTGATAACATGCAGAAGAATGGTTCTATCACACGGCACATGCTCGAATCGTTTGCCCGCCTGCGCAACCCTGAGCTTGCCAAGTGGATTTCTGAGGAAGGCCACTTCCCCAATGCAATGGTTGACCGTATCACACCTCAGACCTCGCCCGCCGATAAGAAGTCACTCGCAGAAAACTTTGGTATTGAAGACTCCTGGCCGGTTGTCACAGAGCCCTTCATGCAGTGGGTGATCGAGGACCGATTCTGCGATGGCCGCCCACCATTTGAGAAGGTTGGTGTTCAGCTTGTCAACAATGTCCACGACGTCGAGCAGTTCGAGAAGCACAAGCTGCGTCTACTCAATGGTAGCCACTCGGCGATTGGGTACCCAGGCCAGATGGCCGGCTTCAAATACGTCCACGAGGTCATGGAGCACCCGCTCTTCCGGAAGTTCGTATGGCAGATGATGCAGGACGAGGTGAAGCCGCTGCTACCCGACATCCCGGGCGTTAACATTGATGAGTATTGCAACACGCTCATCGAGCGCTTCTCCAACCCAACTATCATGGACCAGCTGCCTCGTGTGGCCCTCAACGCTTCTGGCAAGATCCCACAGTTCATTATGCCGTCCATTGCCGAGGCCATCTGGGTGTCTGGCCCATTCCGCCGCCTGTGCTTCGTCGCAGCCGCTTGGTTCCGCTACCTCCACGGTGTCGATGACAACGGCCAAAAGTTCCAAGTCGACGACCCTATGCGCGAGGAGCTCCAGGCTAAGGCTGCCGCTGGAGGAACTAACCCCAGAGAGCTGCTCAGTATTAAGAACCTGTTCGGTGACGACTTGCGCAGCGACAAGCGGTTCATTGAGACAATCACCACGGCTATGGAGGAAATTGCGCGGGACGGCATCATGAAGACGCTTCCCAAGTACGTTGATTAATTGACGGTTCGGAGCGTTTTATTGGCGAAAAAGACCCACTAGATATTTGTATCTTGTTTGATGTTCACGTTGTTTTCTACGAATGCGTCACGAGCGGAGTGATTTACGAGAAAAGCAAAACATAGAGATAGATGATAGCCCAGATAAAATTACATACTTATCACTCTATGCGCGTCCACTTGGGGTCACGGCGGCCTGAAATTAGTTCACTGGAGTACGATTTGTGCCCAAAGACACAAGGCATCGCAGGATATTAGAACAAATAGAGGAAATTGCAAGGGTCAAGATTGGAATGCAGCGGAACATAGTTCGGAGGTCCAGTTTCCAGTCTAGATCTCCATCGTCTACTTTTGCCTCTTTTCCTGGGATGAAGCAAGGGTTAAGGACGCAACCTCGAAATCAAGCTTCATGGAGTCCCGGTCAGAGGGCCTGGCTTGTTATTGGCATGGTGTTTGTTTTGTTTAGGCCCTAGGTAATAAACAAAAGACCCCAACCGCTGATGGAATGGTCTGGGATGCAGTTTAATGTCTAAATGGGCTCTGTAGACCGGGGATGATCCCAACCCCCTGATCTCAATATATCTCTTGTTATTTAAGCTAAATTTATTCTTAATACTATGTAAAGCTACATGGAATCTCTTTCTGAGGAAACAATTACACGAGTGTACCTTTTTCATGCTGCTTATTGATATTCTAACTTTTCTCTGCATCTGCAAAACGCCGCATTCCTTGATACCTCCCTTTGAGAAACCAGATACACGAAACGGACAGTTAGAAGAGTGTCTGGTGATTGGCCTGAGAGGGCTTTTTAGCATCAGCACAGCAACCATCACTCTGATGGCGCATTCTATGTTGTTTGTTGATAGTAAACAGAGGCACATGGATACTCTTCTGTATAGCTCAGCTCTATTTGGCCTTCACCTTGTGAAGCTTAAAAGCTTCCACTTTCCCGATCTTGGGTGGTTCACTATCACATTCAGTCGACAACCTCGCTTCGCTCTCCTTTTCGTCTTTTCGCCAGACAAACGCTCGTTAGTTCAAGCGTGGATAATTGCTGCCTGTCGTTAACCCCCGCAATTTAACCTACTTCGTTTCCGACATCTTCCAATATGAAGACAGTTGCGTTCCTTTCGCTTTTTGGTGTCGCTACACTCGCCCACCCAGCGGGCCTGGTGAGTTTTCCTCTAAAGAAGTTGAAACATGAAATCTAATCATATATCAGTGGTGGGGTACCGACACCTGCTACACCAGCCCGGAAAACACTGACAATCAGTGTTCGAATGTCCAAGAGACTGGCTTTGACTGGTTTGAGCTGGCAGACGATGATGACTGGGATTATGACGGCTTCGACTTTGTTGGATTTAGCCCTAAGAATGACTGCGGGGGATCCACAGGAGTGAGTTCAGGCGATAAATGTCAAATAAGTTGATACTAATTGTCAAAAGGGGAACTGTATTGGAGGAACACTTTCTAGATACGACGACTGGGCACTTAAGGTGGATGCTACCGATGCTCCTTTCTCTGTTCGGAACTTTCACCTTTCAACTTCTCGACAAACCGATGTCATCCTTACCTACAAGACACCCAACGGCCGCTCTTGTCACCAGGTAGTTAGCAGCTCGCCCGAGGGAGTCGATGTCGAGAATGACCAGTGTGGTGGCGCGGTCTCGGTCGAGTTTAAACTTCCTGAGCAGAGCAAGTTCGGCGAGTGTGAACTAGACCTTCACCAAATCGATTTCGACTGTTCTGCTGGGGAAAAGCCCCCTCACTCAGTCGCCAGTGAATCTCAGTCCTACCCGGAGCCTACCCCGAGCTCGACTACTATCCCTGTGTCTTCGCATATGGCCACGTCCAGCGCACCGGATATCTCTTTCCCTACCACCTCCACAGTGTGGACCACCGCCGAATTTTTGGTTACCAGCTGTGCACCAACTGTTACCCAGTGCCCTGCACATTCGACTGTGGTGGTAACCTCGACATATGTACTATCGACCACTGTCTGCCCTTATAAATCCACTGAAACTGGACATCTGCACTCACTCGGCTGGGAAACAACTTCAACTGGAGTCTCTCATGAGAGCTCTCACGCCTCGGTCCCGAATCTACCCCCCCGGGTCACATCCAAAACTGGCGAGCCATCTCCTGCTGTCACTTCTTCGGAACCAATCCCTTCCTCACCCAGCACACACGCCCCGTGCCCTAACTTGGTCCCCAAGTGTATGAACACTTGGCTCTCGATTCCTAAGTGCGACTCTAACAGCGATGCGGCCTGCTTCTGTCCATCTTCCGAGTTTACAGACAAGGTCACTTCCTGCATTCATGCCTGGGGTAAATCAGACCAGGAGATCCAGTCTGCTCTTTCTTACTTCGCCGGTATTTGTGCATCATATGTACCCAAGAACCCAGCTATTGTCAACATCGTCCCCACTAGCACTCCTCATGGTCCAGCTACCAAGACCAGCATCCCCTCTCAGTTTGCTAGTATTACCACTACACCTGTCGAGAACGTCAGTGCGGTCACGCGAGCTCCTCACACCCCATGTACTACTATCACCTGGTCTTCTCACACGGTTACTGTCCCGCAGGTTGGATTCAGCACAGTTACGGGTTCTTCCTCAACCACCGTGAACCTCGTTCTTATCACTCCCACCGCTACTGAGTGGAGTCATACTTCCCACTCATCACCGACATCGACCATGACAACTAAGTGTAAAACTACAACTTCGTCTGTTTATACCACTACTGCGTCGAAGCCCACTGAAACTTTCGTGGCTTCTAACAGTGGATCAAGATCAGGTTTGGAGAGCTTGTGGGCATTTGCTGTGGCTATCCTTGCCCTTTCTCTTTACTAGCTTCAGTGTTGAGTTATCATATATCTTGAAGCTTTTGTGATATAATTCAGGATGTTTCTACATTCAAAGCGAATTTAATGGGTGAATGTCATAGGTATAAACACAAGACCGCAGATAACCTTGTCCTGAAAAATCTCCTCTATGCGTAATATTTGCTATTTCCGAGGCGAGAGTGCAAGCTGAAAAATGGAACGCATATTTCAGCACTAGTGGCGGAATGCTTCTTGAAACGATGTCTCAACTGAAGGCTCGGCGTTATAAATTGAGTAAATGCACATCAATTACAACCGAGCACTTCCGTCTGACAATTGATTCCACTCCTTCTGCCCATAGGGCGAATAGCTGTCTTCGCCAGGGGCAATCCAAAGGAAATGATCATCCTTCCCTGCTGGTGCCTTGGTACCAAGGAGCGCAGGATCTACACCCTCGTCGCGGAGAGGTACCTTGTTCTGTTTATGATTGTGGATATGACTTGGATTTTCGACAACACGCAGGAAAAGCGGAACAGCATATCGAGGAAGCTTAGAGCGGGCAAAGCGAGCAAGTGCTCTGTAGTCAAATGTCTGACGTGCTTCTGGACTAATCTGGATCGCTGCACAGCCGGCTCGTCCTTCGTGATTAGGGAGCCGGACACCATACACGTTGGCCTCGGTCACGCCAGGGAACTGACCTATGACCTCGGAGACTTCCGCAGTAGCGCTGTTAGGTAGAGTGGTCAGCCCTGACTTCATAATGTTAGTGGATCTACTTACACGTTTTCACTCTTCCAACGGAAAGTATCGCCCAGTCGGTCGAGGAAGTACCAACGACCGTCACTAAGTCGGCGCAGAGCATCACCAGAGCGGTAGTACAGATCTCCCTTTTTGAAGACATCACGCAGGAATTTCTTATTGGTCGCTTCAGTATTGCGCCAGTATCCCTGGAAAACTTCTTCGCCGGGGATATTGACGAGAATCTCTCCGCCCTGCTCATAAGGCGAGCGAACTGCAAAGCCTGTCTTTGAATCCCGAAGGATATCGCCAGTTTCCGGGTCAATTGCCACCGGAACGTAGACATTATGCATTACCCCACGCATGATCAGGCCATGGTGGCCAACACTGCCAGCTGTGAATGGACCGCGGTTGTAGTTGAAGAGACCGAAAATTCCCTCGCTGCTGTTGAAGAACTCTCCCACCTCTGGAACTCCAAACCGGTCACGGAATTGTTCCCAAACGTCTGGGCGAAGGCCATTACCGTACATGCACCGGACCCTGTGGTTCTTGTCCTGGGGTGAGGGCGGCGGAGCAAGTAGATAGCGAGCTGTCTCGCCGACGTAGACAAAAATAGTAGACTCGGAGTCGCGAATATCATTCCAGAAGTTGCGAACACTGAACTTTGGACCGATGGCGATGCTGACTCCCATGACCAAACACGAGGCCAGTGAAATCGCACCAGTACCGTGGTATAAAGGCATACAATTGTACCATCGATCACCGTCCGGGCCAGGTTTATCTCCCATCATCCCCTGGCGTAGGAAGAGAGTAGTGTAGAGTCGAGCCATGGTGAATGCACAGCCCTTGGGCAAACCAGTAGTTCCCGAGGTATAGATCAGAATGGCCGGGAACTCGCCCTTGATATGCTTCGCCAGCTCCTTTGGCGGCAGAGACGTCGGGAAGGTATTAATTTGCGCCTTGAGGGAGCCATCAAGCGTCATGGGTTTCATTTCGAGGTCAGTGATGGCATCCAGAGACTCCCCTATGCGCTCCCGACAGCCAGAGTCTTCGTCGACTAAGAGAAGCTTCGAGCCACTGATCTTCAAGCAGTGCAAGAGCGCATCACCAGAAAGATTGTAATTGATAGCAGCAGGGGCACAGCCAATGCTCCAGAGGGCCAACCACACCGCCATAAACTCTGCACTGTTTTGGAGATAGACAGCCACAAGGTCGCCCTTCTTCACGCCCTGCGATAGGAAAAAGTGGGCATATTGGCAGGCCTGATCTTGCACTTCCTGATACGTGTATGATCTCTCCCGAGTCCAAAGGCAGGTCATGTCGGGGTAGCGCTTCACAGTCTCCAACAGGACAAACCATGGATTCCCACGGTTATGGCTGACTGCATACTGGTCAGCTCGCATTGGCTGTTGATGTGGATAGTTTCCTACCTGCGCGGGCATATTCGCGTTCTGCTTTCTTCGCTGTGAGTATGCTTGACACGTCTTTCTTGATATGAAATTTGGCGTTCAGATAGCTGGCGACAGTAGCACCACCAAGCAAGGCAGCGGCAGCAGTTCCTGTACTCAGTCAGTCCACGTTCCAGCCATATGGATACGGTCAACACAATCGATAGACATACCTAAATCCATTTTTGGGCTAAGACAGGCCTTATGGTCGCGTTATAAAAGTTACCGAGGTAGGCCGAACCACAACGCACAACAATAGAACCACAATGTTCGATGTGCGATATTCAAGTAAATGAAAGGAAGAAACAAATTGCAAAGTAATAAAGAGGAGCTACAAGAACAAATGCCAGATCCTCGGCAAAGCGACTCCGCAGAGAATCCTCGCGTTGTCTTTCTAAGCAATTTTAGCAGTCTCGAAATGCGGGGAATGCATTTCACCTCGGTCGTTTCCATAGCCGATCCCTGTCTTGTTCACCTCATCTCCAAATTTTTGACATTAGTATGAAGAGTGATTTATAGCTATCAATTGTTCCCCTATTTCGAATGGTTCCGGCTCTTACGGAGAAATCAAGTTGAAGAGGTGACCATGGGATAGAATGGGGGAAGTACCGCTCCCACCGAGCTGAAATGCAATAAAACCAGGCCCCCGCTGGACTGTCAATTCCATATTCCTTGAATCAGCTCAGCCTCAGAATTAGTATCTGCCTAACCAATATCTGCCTTACCTGGATGCTCTGTAATATCTCAAGTGCGATCCTTCGAACTAAGCAAGGGTTCGACTCCTGCGACCCTCCGGTAAAAACTGCTGCCTGTGGCGATGCATTTCGCTGTGGCGCAGCCGCTTGTTAGGAAATGGCTGATGGCTGTGCTGGAGAAGCTGTAGATAGAATGACATATTGTGGCCTTGGGTGACTTCTAATATTATAATGTAGAAAGCCACAAGCCAAAGGATTGAACACGGCTTAACAATCCCCGGCAAACGGCCTACGAACAGACAACGCTGTAATTTCTCGCTCTGCTTATCCTTGACCTCTTCCCGACAATGCCGTGCGCTGCGATCTACACCGTGGAGGGCATCCTCGATCTTCAGATTGTCCCTCCTGGGAATGGCAAGCAATACTGCCTAGCCAAAACCAAAAAGTCCCGTGGCAAACACCAGTGTGGCAGTGTGATTTCCGAGAGAAATCAAGAAAAGGCTGGGTATCTGCTGCGCGAATGCATGTCATGTTCGGATCCAGATGACCAGGCGATCAAATGTCACACGAAGAAGCTCTGCGAGCTGCTCATTCACAGCCGTCATGAAGAACAACGCAAATTGAATATCGAGAAATGGAACCAGAAGATTTTCGAGTTCAGAAATGATCCAAGGAACCGAAATGCGTGCAGACAACCCCCACGCCCCTTAGAGAAACAACCAGGCAGCACCTTGTGGAGTGACCCTATTCATTATCCCATTCTTCCATACGCCATTGATGACCCGTTCGAGTCAGAGGAGATCAAGATCCACAGTTCAGTCCTCGAAATCCGTGAGGATGCGACGATGGAGCGATACCGGAGCATAGAGGCCGATCAACCACGCAGTGTGTCCACGGATGGGTCAATTGAAGAGATATCGACGTCCAATACTTCCAGCCATGTGTCCCGTTCTTCACGTCATGGTCTTCAAGGCAACAATTCAACGGTGCACTCGCCTATTACCTTGTTCTCCTGTGTATTTGGCCTGTTCATGCAGTTTGGCGCCTTTTGTGGACTTCGTGTTCAAATTGGAAAATCACAACCGAGTCAGGACAGCTCGAATGGAGCAATAGTCCGTTTTAAATTCGAACTGGTCCTTTTGGGGAAGTTCATGCCCCTCTGTGTATTGTTTTTAGTGGGAATTTTCCAAGTAAGTTCGATGTTTGGACTAGCACGATCGTATGTTGCATAGTTTTGGGGTTTCTACTAGGTTAAGGGGAGTTATCTCTGTTTAACATTATATAGTTATAAAGTTATCAATTAAATTAATGTTGAAGAACTTTTTTTCACTTTTTCGCTTTTTCCTTTGGTCCGATCAACCGGGGCGAGATTGGCTAATATGCGAGATGTGATTGGCGGATATAGATATAGTGGACCTAGACATGACGCAAACAGAAAAGGTAGGGAGAGCATTTAGGAAATATAGTAGTAGATATGGGAAGGGAAGTATGGGAAGTATAAAAGGTATAGGGAAGTATAGGAACGGAGTACGGAATCAGCAACCTTTTACCGGTTACCCTCGGAAAACAGGTTGAGTTGCAGTGTTGGGCCTCCCAACGCCCTACATCCCCCGGTGTGAAGTGAAGGTTGAGCCTAGGTGATCCTTTCCCCACAGTGACACCGTGTGAATGTGAATCACTCTACTATTCCTCTGTACCCCTCATATGCACATCTCTCTCTCTCTCTCTCTCTCTCTCCGCCTCTTACACCACAATGTCTCTCCCTATCCGTTCATTGCCTCGGTCATTCCTCCGGTCCTACGGGACTGTACAGGGGTCGAGTGTGTTGTCCAGTCAGAATCAGATCCCTCTCACATTGACTGATGCAACGGGTGCAACCGCCCCACGCACCACATGGACTCGAGATGAAGTCAAGCAGATCTACGAGACGCCATTGAACCAACTCACATACGCGGCCGTAAGTCAATTAGAGCAATGGCTTGAGGAGAAACTGACACCACCAGGCTGCCGTTCACCGTCGCTTCCATGACCCCTCCGCCATCCAGATGTGCACTTTGATGAACATCAAGACTGGCGGCTGCAGTGAGGATTGCTCCTACTGTGCCCAGTCTTCGCGGCACAACACTGGCCTCAAGGCCACGAAGATGAGCCCCGTTGACGAGGTACTGACCAAGGCACGAAATGCCAAGGCCAATGGCAGTACCCGTTTCTGTATGGGTGCTGCTTGGCGAGATATGCGCGGCCGCAAGACCAGTCTCAAGAATGTGAAGCAGATGATCACCGGCATCCGGGACATGAACATGGAGGTCTGCGTCACCTTGGGCATGATCGACGAGCATCAGGCCAAGGAGCTGAAGGAGGCCGGCCTCACCGCATACAACCACAACCTCGACACCTCGCGTGAATTCTACCCATCCGTTATCACCACCCGCTCTTACGATGAGCGCCTAAAGACGCTCTCACACGTCCGTGATGCCGGTATCAACGTCTGCTCAGGTGGGATCCTCGGTCTGGGCGAGGCTGACTCCGACCGCATTGGGCTCCTGCACACCGTCTCCAGCCTCCCTGCGCATCCCGAATCCTTCCCCGTCAACGCTCTTGTCCCCATCCCTGGAACTCCTCTCGGCGACCGCAAGATGATCCCCTTTGACCGTCTGCTCCGAACCGTCGCGACCGCCCGTATCGTGATGCCCGCCACTATTGTTCGTCTGGCTGCCGGTCGCGTTGCTCTCACCGAGGAGCAGCAGATTGCCTGTTTCCAGGCCGGTGCGAATGCGGTCTTCACCGGCGAGAAGATGTTGACCACCGACTGTAACGGCTGGGATGAGGATAATGTCATGTTCAAGCGTTGGGGATACTACCCCATGAAGAGCTTCGAGAGGGCCAAGCTGAGAGTTGACGCCCCAGTATCGGCTGAAACGGCTGAACCCGAGGCTGCTGCGCCGGTCGCGGCTAGCCCTTAGACCTAGTTGAGATAGTTAAAAAATGTTTTCAATATTTAGTTTTGTGGATAGTCTGTGGCCTTTGTAAATATAGCCATCGTACTCCGTATTGGCAATGATCCTTGGCAGAGAGGCCTCATAGACAAGGCCCGCGCATCAACACGTGACCTGGCCAACATGCAGGATCAGCCACTTCCTCACTTGCTGCATCTCTCCTCCTACTCCGTATTTACCCCGGAATATTCATAAGATATTCATGGAATGTTCGGTTTTTCCGTGACGCCAACTGATCGGTGCTCCACTATCAAATGGTCTGATGCCGAGGCTTAGCCGGACGCACGCTGTGAATTCACCATTCTCAGATCCATGTAGCCATCATTATTGGACATCAATTCGACCACATCGGATTGCACTGGTTCCCTTTTTAGTCCCAACATGCTCAAAATGGCCATTGAGATGCCCCCCAAGGGATTAGCCGACTCCGAGGCCACCCTCTGCGGAGAACTTCACATGTGGCAGGCGCCGATCGTCGCCCGTTTGGCATATCCACGATCTCCTGTTCATTTGATGTGTAGGTTTCGTTGGGGTAAACTGATCCACACAGGAAAGACTTCACATCATGGTTCTCATTTCACATGAGTCATGCCTTCGCAAATGATATAAACCAGATCCGCGCCACCAGTAGTGGCCGTAAATCCACCCAAACCGCCCATTATGGATTCCAAACCATCATCCAAAGATTCTATGAAATCCACATGGCGAACTGCACCTCGCAGTGAGTGGAACATAAACCACTGGCTGCTAGATGTGCTCAACGCCCATCCTCAGGAGCTCAACAAGGAAGTGCCAGTGCACAGCAAAGAAGAGAAAGTTCCCTTTATGCCTCAGTGGTCTCTACAACGCTGGGTACTCTTCTACTCTGCACTCCCACTCCTCCTTCACGAGACATACATGGCCTACACTGGCCGCACCATTGGCCCAATCACAGCCTTCAACTTCTACTTCTTCGCTTTCAACGCCACAGTCATCTACCAAGTGCATATCCTCCGCCGCCTAGGCCACAAATACGGCTTCCTAGACGGGGACAAACACGAACGAGATGGCGTTCCAGACGTGGGCGTGGCTAAAGTAGTAACATCGCTCTACAAAACCACCGGGTCCCGCCTGATCCTCTCAACCTTCCTCTCCTACAACGCCAGCCAACGCCCCTCCGAAATGTCGTGGACGTGGCTTCCCCTGGAAATCGGCCTATACGGCATCGTCCTCGACTTCTGGTTCTACTGGTACCACCGCCTGATGCACGACGTGAGCTTCCTCTGGAAGTTCCACCGCACGCACCACCTGACCAAACACCCTAACCCTCTACTAGCGGCATACGCAGACCATGAACAGGAGTTCTTCGATATGGTCGGCGTACCGATGATGACCTATTTCAGTCTCAAACTAATGGGTCTACCGATGGGCTTTTATGAATGGTGGATCTGCCACGAGTACGTGGCTTTTGCCGAAGTCTTCGGGCATAGTGGATTGCGCGTGCATCTCACTGTACCGTCGACGCTGAGCTGGCTACTGCAGATGTTCGATTCGGAGATTGTTATTGAGGACCATGATCTGCATCACCGGAAGGGATGGCGTAAGAGCCATAATTATGGTAAGCAGACTAGGCTGTGGGATCGCATTTTTGGTACTTGTACCGAGCGTATTGAGTCTGCGGCGGATAATGTCGACTATGAGAATACAGCTAGGATGCCTCTTTTCTGAGACCGTCGGCACTATATTACTTTAGAGGTTGAATAAGAGGTGGTGATCGCGAGCCACTTATACATAGCTCGATTCTTATAAATAGTGTCCACATATACCACATTCGGAGTATTTTTCCATTCAGCTAGATTATGTTTTTTAAGTATTTCCATATCGCTTATTTCATACAATTGGTATGTCTTGAAGAATTTGATAAGAGCGTATGCTCAGCCTCGCTTGTATTGCCCCGTCTGCCCCGAATAGGCCAGGCTGGCATGGGTCACTGCATCCTCGAGGAAATGCATCACAGTATTGGGATGGCTTGGAGAATACATTTGTTCCTATTTATTACAATGCTAAATCTGCTGGTTGTAAATTTGGCTTATTTGAAGCGTTATCGCGCCCCTTTAGCAGGAACTGAATTACCAATGATCAATCCCTAGGGAATTATATATATCTGAGAAGAATGCATACTACTACTATTTACTGGCCTTAGCTACCTCATCCCTCGGATCAAATTTCTTATATACTCCCAGCTATAGCTACCCTAGACTTGAATGAAGGCCGTGCTGAAGTTTTGGTTACTTCATCCCAAAGAGAAGATACATACAGCCTGGGCGGTCAGGGCATTCCAAACTTCTCTTTGTGCAGGATATTATACCGACTACTGTTTAGGCAGCCAGAATAATATAATAAGAGCCTATATGTTCCTATATCTAGTGATGGCCACGATGTATTGTAGTTTTAGAAGTCGATTCTGTCAAATTCTGTCAGTTTCGGACCCCGAAGCACCACCTCACTCTCAAATTGCGTAAAATATCCAGTGACAGCACACCGTCACTAAGTGAATGGTATTCTAACTTGTCCAACGAGCTACGTATCGCTTCCATTAATTATAACAGCTGGACGTGATAGTTAATTCATCCACTTTCCCGTAACTTGAAGATTTTTCAGCTTGAATCTCTAGATCTTATATTATGTGTGATGAACATAGAGTAGCAGACACGGATTCTACCGTGTAAATCAGCGGCAGCAGGGCCGTGAAAAAGCACATCCTCACAACACCCCCTAGTGCCATTACGCACAAAATACCCCTCAAAGCCGTACTCCCCTTCACTCTTTTCCCCTTTGAAGACTTTTTTTGGCAACGCCATGAATACGAACAATGGTCTTACATCAAGGTTTTGGGTGGTAGACTGGATAAGGTTGGTGGAGTATTAATCGAAGGAGGCTTCGATGTAATATGTTTTACAAATAAACCTTGGCCGGTGATTTAAGCGCATGTCTACAGCTAAATATGATCGAGCTTGAGCAAGCAAGGTGACAAATACTTCAAGATCCATTCGCGGGGATAATCCCAAGAAGGATGAAGCCCGCCAAGTTACCGGACAAGCCCGATCAGATATAGAACTGATCCAAGGTTATCTGCATCTATAGCTCTGTAGTTGGTACATGCCATCATCACTATTGATTCGGGCGTCCTTAATGCTCGGCCTGCTTCCGAGTTTGGAACTTCATATGAGCCTTGACAGTGACTGTCTCAGACTGGAGCAGCTTTTAAGTTTGCACAGAGATTTTCTATAGGTATTGTATGTGGAAAGCGCTGTGGAAGGCGTCGATGCCTGGCCCCGCTAGTTCGCCTCTCAGGGTTGACCAGGCAAGTGTATCCGGCGCTCGTGTCGACAACGATAGTGCTGACAGCTTGTGGGGACATGCTTGGCCTGGGCTTTGAGTGACCACGAGCTAAATCAAGCTCTAGTGTCAAACAATCGCCGAGGTTTCCCCAGGCAATGCCGGGTTTCCACACAATCTCGGCTATAATGTTAGCGTTTTCATTCCGTCCACATGGCCCAGCCCGATCTCAACGGTAACTATTGCTGTATTGGAAATGGTGATTGGCCTAGTCTCAACTCCGCATGTACGCTAGTCAAACTTGGTAATCCAAATCCCGACTGAATCAACGATCCTTTTAGCGCCCATTTAGTGCAAAAAACACAGTATTGTCCTTCTTAACTAGGCATAGTCAACAATGATTGATAAGTGGATATAGATTCGTGACGGCGTACACTAAGTGACAAGTCTAGAAATAGTTCTATGTAGAAAACATCCGATTTACGACCTCAAAGCTGCCTCACAGACTGGGGCAGCTGATCCTCGTCCGAGAAAACAGAGATCTCAACCTGCTTCGTAATTCCAGTACCGTCAAATGTAGGAGAGTCTGGGTGGCCGCCGACGCTGGTACTGGTATGCGCGCTTTGGTTTAGAATGTGATCCACGCTCCCATTCTCCAGATCAGGCTTGAACTTGCGCGTCCGTCGCGACTGGTTGGTCTCGTTTGGGTTAGTCTTGCGACCGTTGAAAGGACCGCTGAGCTCGTACGAGCGCGAGAACTTCCCGCTAGAGATCTTGCGGACGGAGGAAATGATCAAGGGTCGGATGCAAGGGATAGAGGAGGTGATAATAATGATCGTGTTTTCGATATATCCCCAGCGGATTAGCTCAATGCCACCGGAAGCACCAATATTCGTAATGCTGGGAATTGAGTTGAGTTTGGTTGTCTTGATGATAGATGCAATCATTGCACTGACTCGTTAGTACCTTGGCGATACCTGGAGGGGAAATTACTTACACGATACCCAGACTGAGCAAAACGATCAGACTGACCTTGATCCGGAGCTTCAGATTCAGGTTCCAGAACACGATAGCTGGGAAGACGGCCAAGAACAGGTCGGTGGCCGAGTTGAATGTGTTGGAAAAGTAAGCGAACTTGATGATGGCGTTTGAATCACCACAAGTGGTCGAAAGAGCCACAGCTGGATCCCATAGAGCAGCGACGTTGCGACAGATACTCAGGGGAAGCACTGCTGAGGTGATATTGCCAGCGAGCTGAATGACCATGAATGTCCATAGCAAGCCCTGGTATATCTTGTTTGTACCGAGGAGGGGCAGAATGTAGAGGATGAAGGCGGAACGTGCGAAGGTAGTACTGAAAGTGACGAGTGGGACCTGGATGGCAATGTACTTCAAGACCAATTCCTGATCAATTCGTGGCAGGGTTGTGAGATCCTTGCCAAATCCATGTCGCACGCACAAGGTCAAGAAGACAGTTGAAGCGATCGCCAGAAGCTAGACACGTTAGCAAAGACACGAACTAGCCAGAGGAAGGGGTAGTACCTCGGCGAGAATCATCAAGGCATCGTCGAAGCCAAACCGTTTGATTTTAATCTTAGCAAAGACTCGTAAAATAACGATCACCGCGGCGATGATCACCGCGGCCCAGATCCCCTTCTCCAGGGCTGGGCCAAGATCTTTCGACATGTTGTGGAGATACAAGAATTAGTTGAAGATCATTGTCGAGACAATCCCAATCCTTTAATAAAGAAGGGGGTAGTGCCTAGGAATAACATGTGTAGCAGGCATTCCGGAAAAGAAAGTCCAATTTGGGGTTGAGCGAAAACCCAAGGTTCAAGTTGGTCATAAACCCCGGATAGACCGAGAAAAGGGAATGGAAAGCCTTGGAGAGAGCCAATAGACTCGGTTCATCTCCTGGTCCAAAAAAACTGCCGGTGGATAGACCAATTATTGTCCTGTGAGGTACCTGAGATCGGTAAACTCTGATAGATTCAGCATGAGTATAACAGAACAGGTTCTACGCCGGATGCGTCGTCTCCACTTAATCTATTAAAATGAGATGGGTTAAATGAATTAATCTAATAACACATCCGGTCCTCAATTCTGCAACAACTAGAAAGTTAGAACCCTTAAATTTGAGACATGTCCAGCCACTAAAGTCTCCTAGATTAAGGAGAGAAGCATAACGGGCGAAACCTGAGTTAGGGCTGACTCCCGGTTGAGTGTCCGATGGGCGGACTTGGTGGCGTTGGAGGCCCACTTTTCATATGTAGCTTGTAATATGATTGGCCGACCCGATCTCTTTTGACTGAGACAATTCGATCCAATCCAAGCGCCATATCCGTGGGAGCCGTGGAAGTCCGAGGCTTAGGCGTAACTGTCTATTATTCCGTATAGGGAGGCAACGGCAACACCGTCATGTTCCTGATAGTATGCGCGAATGGAACAATTATCCATGGAATTCCAGCCTCCTCGGCTACTGTAGATCACAACTGCCGTATACTGAATGTGCAGTGTAGATCTCCCCCAAACTCCAATTCCCGAGATCTTTATGTTCGTGTTCATAGCGTTCAAAGCGGGACCGGTGAATTCACCCATCTCCACCGTCAATATACAAGCTAGACGCACTTGGGAACACCTCCGAGTATCCCGTATGATTCCAGAATCTTTGCATTGGTTATGGCCGAGGAGACTGATTGTCTGGTATAAGTAACGTGGTGATCGGCGAACTCCTCTCCATTCTCAACCTTATCCCTTTCTTCATCTCCACCAACATGAAGGCCTGGACATTGACCTCTGTTGCTCTCGCTGTTCCGGTGATTGCTGGGGTTTGCCCCATCGCTCGCGATGCAGACTGCCACTGCCTGCCCACCGACAGCTGCTGGCCTGCCCCTTCCGCCTGGGCTTCGCTGAACAGCACCGTTGGCGGTCGTCTGATTGCGACCTTACCCATTGGTACACCCTGCCATGCTCCTAACTATGATGCCGCTGCTTGTGCTGCCCTCAAGGCCGAGTGGTATGAGCCGCAGCCTCAGTATGTTCAATATCCCTGAAGAGGTCGACAAAAGCTAATCGCCACTAGCCTAAATTCGCCCTCGTCGATCATGCAGATGTACTTTGCCAACCAAACTTGTGATCCTTTCACCTCCCAGTCTAAGCCCTGCACTCTGGGCAACTTTGCCAGTTACTCTGTGAATGTCTCCTCCAGCAATGAGGTCATTGCTGCTGTCAAATTTGCCCGTAAGCACAACATCCGCTTTGTGATCAAGAACACCGGCCATGAGTAGGTTCCTCGTCCTTCTGTGCTTCGGAACCCAACTAAAATGATATAGTTACCTCGGTCGCTCGACCGGTGCTGGTGCCTTGTCTGTCTGGACCCATAATCTGAATGACATCGAATATCAGGACTGGTCAGACTCGGACTACCAGGGCCCCGCGTTCAAGGTCGGTGCGGGAGTGGTCGGCTACCAGATTCTCGACGCTGCCCACTCCAAGGGCCTCGTTGTTGTTACTGGCGAGTGCCCTACGGTCGGTCTGGCCGGAGGCTACACACAGGGTGGTGGTCACTCCGCCCTCAGCACTCAGTTCGGCCTCGGTGCTGATAATACCCTCGAATATGAGGTCGTCACCGCCGATGGAAAGCTCGTCAAAGCTTCGCGCTCCGAGAACTTCGACCTCTTCTGGGCTATAAGCGGTGGAGGTGCTGGCAATTACGGCGTTGTGATGTCTATGGTTGTCAAGGCTCACGCCGATGCCATCGTCTCCGGTGCTGAAGTTGCGTTCGCCTCGGCCAGTATCTCCACTGATGTCTTCTACGAGGCCATCTCGCAGTTTCACGCTCTCCTCCCGGCCATGGTCGACCAGGGTGTCACCGTCATCTACCAGATGGCTGCCAGCTTCTTCAAGATCGCTCCCATCACCGCCTACAACCAGACCTCCGATGATGTCAAGACTATCCTGGAGCCCTTCCTCTCTGCCCTGACCGCGCTGGACATCAAGTACGCGGCGAGCTACACTCAGTTCGACTCTTACCACGACCACTACAACAACTACATGGGTCCCCTCCCCTGGGGCAACCTGGCCGTCGCAACCTACCAATACGGCGGTCGTCTGATCCCTCGTAAGACTCTGGAGGAGAATTCCAACGGAATTGGTGCCGCCCTCCGCAACATCACCCAGAGCGGCGTGATCGCTGTCGGTGTCGGCATGAACGTTACCGTCTCCACCGGCAACATCTCCAACGCTGTCGCACCTGCTCTCCGCAACGCCGCGGTGACCATGCAAATCGGCACTGGCTGGAACGAGACCGCCCCATGGTCCCAGATGGTCGCCGATCAGTACAAGATCACCAACGAGTACGTTCCCCAGCTTGAGGCTGTCACTCCCAACAGCGGCTGCTACCAGAACGAGGCCGACTTCCGCCAGTTGAACTGGAAGGAGACTTTCTTCGGTAGCACCTACTCGCCCCTGCTTTCGATCAAGCGCAAGTGGGATCCTACTTCGTTCTTTTATGCCCTGAAGGCTGTTGGGAGTGATGCCTGGAATGTTGCCGAGTCTGGTCGTATGTGCCGTGCTTAGGCGAGTGGCATGACTTTTATGATGCGAGATGACACATCAAAGTGTTATCACATGGTTAGATATTTATGTATATATACTCCATACAGTAATTAGATCAGTGTTTTGCACATGAGTTTCTTTTGATTCAGTTGGCAATGCTACGAAAAATCTGTTATCTATCTAGACTGCCTTGGCCTCCTTGCTCCACTTTACCAGGATTTTACCGAGGGTTGAGCTAGAGCCATCGCCAAGATCAGATCACACTTTCCATATTAGGTCTAGTAAGGTACAGGTAAGTATATTCACGGCTGAAAAGCTGTTAATAGCTTGTCCAAGTATTGACATATCGCCAAATGTTTGTTATCTCGCAAAAATGATGCATTTCGCTTTGGCTTCTCGTTTGATGTTTTATCTTCTACTTTTATTTACGATGGAATCGTGAAGTAAAGTTGTGAAAGCTAACGTATGCTAAAAGATGCTCAAGTGATGCAAATATCTATAACCCATGAAAACCGATATATGGTAAAACTAACCCTATGACACCATGAAACATTTTATACAAGCGATATGCTTAAGCATTGCTAGCGCAAGAGAAGCTGTTGCTGGAAGCATCGTCGTGGATAGCCTTGCCAGAAACATAGAGACCAAGACCACACATGCAGCCACCGATCAGGATGATCAGAACATTGACAATGGTGAGGAAAATCTTCCGAGGGGAAGAGAACCACTTGCCCTTGTTGATGTGCAGCCAGTAGACACCACCAAGACCGTAACTGAACCAACTAGCAAACAGAGAGCTGATCAACGACAGGAGATCGCTGAACACAGGAATAGCATCAGCAATGATCCAGGCGATGACCCAACAGGTGAGTGCGATGGCAATCCAGGATCCGATGGCAGTTAAGTCGCGCTTGTGCATGCGATCGGTTCCACGGAAGAGGCGGACATAGATGTACTTGAGACCGATATGGCCGTTGACAACACCAGCACCAATAATCTGAAACTGTCAGTATATGAACGTGAATCAAGCAAGAGAGATAACGTACAGTAGGGATGGCAATTCCGTAAGCAACCTTCTTCAACACGGGGCCCGCAGATGTCAGGGCAGGAGATGCGACATCTTGGCCGACGTAGTAGTAGATGACAACCGCAGCCACGGTGTAGAAGATGATCTCGAATGTCTGCAGCATTACCAGAGCCTTTGGGAAGTCCCTGGGCTCCTCCATCTCAGCAAGCAGACCGAAGAAGGCGACGTGAGCGCAGTAGGCAAAGACAATATTGGTGACGGCGCTGAACGCGCGGAATAGATCAGTGTCAACGGTGGCCTTGAGGTCAACACCACCTTTGTTCTGAACGCCGACTCCAATCATAGTGATCAGCACAGCAGTCAGAATACTGACGAAGGCTATAGACATAATTAGCACACATTCCATTTTCCAATGGCCGAATCCACATACACATGCACGAAATGTAGGTCATGTTCTTCATAGTCCGAGGAAGAGAGCACACGAAACAAATGACGAATCCAACAGTCGTGAAAACCATAGTGCAGGTACCGTGCTCGGTAACAGTGTTCATCATGACACTGAAAGTCAAGATGTGACTACCCATAATGAAAATCGAGAAGAGCAGCTGGCCCAGACCGAATAGCTCACGTCCAAAAGCACCAAACAAGACCTCACCGGCATCGGCCAAGTTCTGAATATGGGGATACCGCGCGCGGAATTGGTGGATCGTGTAACCGGTATAAGTCGCGAGAATACCCAGTCCAATAATAAGGACTAGAGCCGGGGCGAGACCCAGCTCGGCGAGGGTCTTTGGCAGAGACAGAACACCGAGGGAAACAGATTCGGCAATCATAACTAGATACAGTCAGAGACAATTCATGTTGATTGTTGCGTACTTTATTAGTACTTACACATTCCGGTTTGCCTAGAAGCATACAGTTAGCATATGTCTTGCCTTATAGTTATGCGCAATGCGCAACGTACCACCACTTCATGGTCTTATATTTGACCTCCGCCCCTTCCTCGTTACCAAAGGCATCCTGGTATTGAGGAGCAACCTGGTCCTGCTCCATATTCTTTTCCTTCCATCCTGACTCCGAGTCCGTCGGGCCATGGTGCGGTGTTACTCCGTCGAGAATCATGATGTCAAAGCAAAGTACCGATAGGGAAGGGCAAAAGATCAAAGCAAGACAGAGACGAAAAAGAAAAAGGAGAGCCAGGTCTTGTATGTGTGGAAAATTCTTGAGCAGTGTGGAGCTTAACGTGACACCCCGCAACAGTTTACTATGAGAAGTTGGGGCCCGGAATTCCGGGGCCCGGGTCTTCTGGAAGGCTGGTAATCAGGCTTATCTGGCGAAGTTCAATTTCTATTGCATATTTGCATTATGTTCCATGTTCAGGGTTTTTTCTTTGATGTCGGAGTATCGATGGATTTAAGCCTCGGTGGAGCCACTGGGCGCGGAAGAGGTTGCACTAAACCCACTTTTCTAGTCCAAAAGCCAACCATAGCTTCGGCATGAGAATCTTATTATCTAACAAGAATCGGCCGTCTCGCGTGGGCCGCGAATAGCCGCATTTAATTTGACACCGGGCCAATCCCGAAAGGAGACTCTTCAAGATGTTACTAAATGCCAAGCTTAGCTTCAGGATGATCAGACAACGCTCTGCTGAGATTTATTCATTTCAATTGACATCCATGCAAGCACTTAGAGATTCATAGATTTACATCATTGGAGCTGATGGCAAATGCCATGACTTCATTTGGTTTCGGCTGGCACTGAAAAACTTCTAGAAGCATGAGGATCGACCGTGGACTGCTTCGGCCTTCCAAGCAGTTTTTCGCCACAGGAAAAAAACCTTAGTCAAGCCTTGTAACTAAGCTACCGCCTAGAAGTGCCAAACGATCTTGGCCATTCTCTGGTTCAGGCACTCGGCTTTTGTGACAGACCCGGATGTCGGGTTGCAGACCCCAGAAGTTCAGGGGTCAGTGCGAGGGACAGACGTGTGGTGGATGACTTGTGTCATAGAAACTATCTTTGTGGGAAGAGCCCCAATGGTACAGTGCTGTGATCTTTGGAGAAGCCCAAGTCCTCGGAACTACGGCAATCTTCACAAGAATTCACCGGCCGCATAACTCGCAATTCAATAACAGTAATTGGATCACATTTTCCACTTTGGGATAATATATCATGGACAACTCATTACCTGGAAAGCTCTCCACCTTTTGGCCCCCCTAAATCTCCAGTTTCTCCAAAACTTGACCCCGGATGACCCCGGGATATAAGAAAACAGAACGTAATTAGAGTCTAAATCCCCGAATCTTCTTCTTTCACACTGAGTCCATTCTCGAATGTATCCCACGTTTTGCAGTTAGCATGGAGATTATCATAGTCAATCAGTGAGTTGATCTCACTGTACTGCTCCACAAACTGGATTGCAAATCTTTCCTCAGTATGCCATCCAATATGACAATGCATCAGCCAAGCACCCGGATTGTCTGTTTTGAATGCGATGACCAAGTATCCATTCTCAGGCAGCATAGCCGTGTCACGCTTGGGCGGAGAAGCGAGGGTAGTTACGTCCCCAGTATACGTCCCACCTCCTTGAGCGAGCACCACGAAATCGTGGCCATGGAGATGAATTGGATGCGGGACCGACATCCACGTTTCGATGACAACATAGGTCCACACATTCTTGTGGGGAAGCTCAACAACACCACTGGCGTTAATCAAGCTGTGTGACCACGATAGACTTCCAAAAGTGTTGGGTCCGTCCAATCTACATGCATCAATGTTGAATTGAGCTTCCACCGGTAAAGACTGCCACCGTTTTTACCCAGCGACACTGGCTCGGACTTGTTGTAGAAAGGACTAGACACTGTTTCCGAGACAATCGGGGTTAAATCCGACATGTCCTCATCAATACAGCTGTTGGTATAGCTGTAGGCAGTGGTAGAAGGAGTTGAAGGCGAGTCACTGTAGTATATGAATCCCTTGACGTTGGTTGGGTTCGCGTTTTCTGAGCAGGCATTCTGGGGAATCGCACATAGCCAGAAGTTCTTGGCGACCGACACTTGATCGGCTTAAAAACGACGTCGTATCGCTGCCTTAGATCGTCCTTAGCATAGAAAATTCGAGTAAAGCATACATCAGGCTCACCCATAGCTATGTTCAAAACGTCCGTCTTGTATGGCTGGATCGGTACAAGGCAATGACTGTCATGGTGTGGTTGTCGATAGAAAATTTGAAGTGCGTATCACAGGCAGCGTTCACCAACCGCAGTCTGTAAGAAGTTCTGCCGTGAATGAGGTATTGAAGCGAGTTCCAGTTTGATTCACTGTACCATCAGTGCCGAAGACATTTGTCCCGTTGATCAAGGCAGTATCAAGAGTTGGCGGCCCGTCCTTCTGAGCAGTCATGAAGAGCTGGTCCACTGTATTGTAATCCCAGTCATTCTTGATAATTACCCCCTTATCTTCATCGTAGTTTGCACTGGCTGGTCCATTGACCACAATACCACCAAACAGCCCCTCCCACGCTTGGAGTCCGATATGACTGTGGTACCAAGTAGTACCGTATTGAATAGCTCGCCATTTGTATGTGACTGCTATATTGGAGTTTAAAGCACTATGGAGAAATCACTGGATACGTCACGAAGCATTTGGCAGCGAGCCTTGGTGCGCTATAGGACGAAATTGGGAACTGAGGCTAATAGTCAAATAGTTTATTTCCGAACTGCTTCACAAACCTTGAGAGCCTATAATATTCCGTTTATACGACGACAGATGAATTATCACAGTCACTTACTGCTCCATGGAAGCCAGGCCCACTCTCAATATCATATCCAAAATCTTCGCATTTGTCACACACAGATTTGATGATCTTCTTATGCCCAGACATGATATTTGGAAAGGGAGTGTGGCAGTGCCAGCCCTTGGCGCACCTAAAAATAAGTTTGCCTCAAATTTCCACAGTAGCGCCAAGAACATTTTGGGGCGCGTGACATTCCGCGCGGCGGAAACGACTTGGCATGTTGGCCCCCCATCTGGGAGAAATGACATTCAGAGGCTTTGTCCAACCTAAATATGTTGGGAGTCTTCCATGCTCTGTGAATTCAAGGCTGTACGCAAAATAGGAGCACCCAACATGTGATCTCTGTACGTACCAGAAGGAAGTTATACTGTTCTGATCTTGAGTCCTCAAATGTAATGACCGGAGCAGCTACCTCAACCAGGCTGGATTGTCTTGCCTCTAAGATGACTTTGAGTCTGAACAGAGGAGAATTGATTTGCCGTGTACAGTAACTTGACTGTTTGCGAGGAACCGGGGGAGGAGGTTACCTAAGAATTCTTAAATACATATTCTCAAGGCAAAGCTAATAGTGAAGTCTTGCTTAGTTACGCATTACGCATATAGGCATGTTTGCGTCTTTAACAGGGCATGTAAGGAGATATTCGAGTATCGAGGCCACCTCAATCAAGTTTTTATGTTTCCCCTAACTGCCTACCCCGGGTACGCCGGGAAGGGGGCGGGGTAAGGGGCCATTCGCACTTGGCATTACTACACTCTCCTTCCGCACGCAGAGGAGGAATCAACGCCAAGCGCCTAAAAACTGGGCAGTGCTGAGCAGAGCTGGGTACCCGGAGCGAAGTCAGGCAGCAGGATTTGCTGTGCCAATGTCTTGGAATATCGATAGAGTCCCGTTCTCTTTATAATCCCGCTCATACGGCGCCTCTCTGCCAAGTGACTTGTTTCACAGTGATGATTCGGTACAATCTTATGAGTTTTATTGTATTATTTTCCTTTTGTTCTAGAGGATGTACACTCATATTCCCCTGCTGGTCTTAATGCTCTCAACTCCTGCTCTCAATCTCCCAGTCCTATGCCTTTTCTCCAATGTCAGCTGCCCCTCCGCTCGCGTCAAATGAGGCCTGTGATCCTTTCAGGGTGGTTGGCCGCCCTTTTTGCCTGCCTTCTCATACGAAATGCCTTCGCAATTGACGTTAACCCTGATGATGAGAGTAGGTTCATTTCATACCCTACCTAAGCACCTTAAATGACTTACATGTACCTCCCCGGCAGCCTCCCTCAAAGATGCCGCCAAGACCGTCGCCTCCACCATGATGAAGTTCTACAATGACCGCGACTCGAAAGCTATTCCAGGTAAAATGGACGATACCTGGTGGGAGGGTGGTTCGATGTTTATGACGCTCATCCAGTACTGGTATCTAACTGGCGACAGCCAGTACAACGATGACATCCAGGAAGGCATGTATTGGCAAAAGGGCGAAAATGACTTTTTCCCAAGCAACTACTCCCAGTACCTGGGTAACGACGATCAAGTATTCTGGGGATTAGCGGCGATAACCGCCGCGGAAGTGAACTTCCCAGAAAGAGACAACGAGCCTTCGTGGGTTTCTCTGGCTGAGGGTGTCTTTAATGGACAGATTCCTCGCTGGGACATGAGCAGTTGCGGTGGCGGTTTGCGATGGCAGATCTGGCCCTATCAGAACGGGTATGGTTTGAAGAATGCCATTTCCAACGGGGGCTTGTTCCAGCTGTCAGCGCGTCTGGCACTATATACAAAAAACGCGACCTATGCCGAGTGGGCTGAAAAGATTTGGGATTGGAGTGCGTCTACGCCGCTATTAAGGAAAAGCTGGGTTATCGCCGATACTACTTCTACCGCTGCGGACTGTAAGGATCACGGTGATCACCAATGGACTTACAATTATGCTACGTATATCTCCGGTGCGGGCTATATGCACAACTACGTATGTTATCCCCTGTCCCCAACAAGTTGACTATCTGGAGTATCCAAATTAAATGATTTTTTAGACCAATGGCACCGAAAGCAAATGGCTCGAAGGCGTGACAGGGCTGATCAAGACATCTGATCAGTTTTTCCCTGACTCGGCTTCGAAACAAGTCATATCCGACATTACCTGCGAGCCAATCAATAAGTGTGATCGCAATCAGAAAACATTCAAGGCCTATTTCACTTCCTGGCTCGGGTTCATGTCACTGATAGTACCGGCCAATACCACGACGGAGGTAATGGCGAGATTCAAGAGCTCCGCTGTCGCTGCCGGTCAACAATGCTCCGGTGGAGGCGATGGAAAGCATTGTGGAATTCGTTGGACGAAGAAGGCAGAATGGGATGGGACTATGGGTTTGGAGCAGCAGATGTCTGTCTTGGGTGTCCTTAATTCTGTCATGGTCCCATTCAAGGCACAGGGCCCATACAATACTGATAATGGTGGGACATCCCAAAGTCACCCACATGGGGGCACCAATACCAAGGATACCTTGGGGCCTGAACCTATCGCGACAGGTGATAAGGTTGGCGCGGGGATACTGACAGCGGTCTTCGTTATACTCTGGGTCGGAGCTGTGTCGTGGATGATTAGAGGCCAGTAAAACATGCACATTTGAAATCTTGATATCCGGAGAAATTGTGGCTATTTTGTGATATTTTCTGATGGAACAACCTATTCCCAATGATAGATTCAGCGAGATAGCAAACAGAACTGAGGCATAATCAGTAGTCATATACCATCCGAGTCCAATGCATGTTTTTGATATTGCAATGTTTTCCTCAGCACAAACAAGCCAGCCGTGATTATACGTAGGGCATGGCTCTGATGCACTAGCTAGATGATTGATTAGGATCATGACGTAAACTTGTCAAAGACAAGACAGAAGAGGATTATATACAGCACCGCCAACGATATAATAACCTTTGTCCCGACGCGTTTCCTGGCAGGAAACATACCTCGGAGGCCCGTGGTAGGATAACGGGAGGGTGAAAATTTGGGGGCGGGGCGGGGACTAGGAAACTTCCAGGATTTGTACCCTGGTGTAAGAAGCTATGCTAAAGATCCCATCATCTTACGCCAAGCTGCATGCATCAAAAGTATCATGTAAAGGCTGACGGTCCGACCCTAGTACAGCTGTGGGACTATATATTGCAATTGCTAGCAAACATATGCTTTCGTTGGTCTATGAATATTCCGGCACGAACAACTAGAAATGACTTCATAAACTCCTACTCGATCTAGTGCTCGCCCAAATATCAAAACGAACCACTCGGTGTCTAATAAAAATCAATTAAACGTACTTGATTTCCTCTACCGCTTCTTGGCGTTACCTTTGCATTTTAGTGCTCAGACTTTGCCGCTTTTTGCTCACTAAAACCGAGCACGCCCCTGAGCGCCCCCCTGAGCGCCCTGATCCGCTCACTGTGCATGCTCTGATAGTCATTTAGGTGCTCTAATTTGCTCACGAAGTCTGAGCTGAGCCTAGGGGTGAGCAGCCTGAGTAAGCTATATTGCCAGCTTATGAGGGGTCATATTGTACGGATTTACGGCTTATTCAGCTATACCGTCTCTACCCTCATCCCTACACTGCTAGCTCCTCTTTACACCGCTATTGCGGCCCCCATGAACCATGGAAGAGCAGTATAAGTAGAATCAGGGATCTGGAGGAAAAGGGGCCAGACAACACTTCATGAACTAACTACACATAGTGGAATACACCTCTTCTTGACCTCCATTCGTCCTTGGTAAATACCAGTAGCCTCATAGTTTGACTCAACATATATCAATAAAATGCATCACGCTAGTTCCGTCACGTGTACCCCTTCACTTTTAAATGGCAACCCTTATCTTATCAAAAAAAGCCTGGCATTATCAGTATGATCTTCAATCCTAGTAATTTGGCTGTAACTAATTACGCTACAACGGAGCTTGCTACTCGGCCACCCAATTAGTATTACCATTCTATGCTCGATGCTCCTAGGAATCCTTCGTCTACTCGGTTCCACGATTTCCTAATTAAGCTTCAGAAGACTACCGGAGTCTAGGATATTGGATTAGCCTACCTAGGAATCGGTAACATATCCTAATATAGAGGCTAACCGAGAAGATCTTTAAAATGCGGAGATAAAGAACCTCTTCTCTGCTAATAAGCGTTATAAGACTCTAAATATGTTGCTCCTAGGAGCTGGCCGCACGCTCTATAGGAGCTTACAAAAATGTCGCGGAAGTCGATTTGATAATTATAGCTATTATTTAGGCTATTTCTTATGCGCTATTGTCACGGAGTCTCCAGGAAGCATGTATTGATCTCTCGCAACCACAGAGGATCGACAATGTATAGGTGTCGACACGGCAGCGTAAGTTCATCGCAACGCAGCCCTTCGTATTAAATAGCCTCTTCTAGGAGTGCCCAGAGGTTCTCTAAAAATCAGTCTCTGTATTCCTCCAATATAATCTGCTTCTTAGACATCTTCATCTTACCTAGTTAACAGGCTCTATCCTGCAAATACTAGAAATAGATTGGGAGAGAGCGATGAATTGGGAGAGAGTGATGAATTGGGAGAGAGTGATGAATTGGGAGAGAGTGATGAATTGGGAGAGAGTGATGAATTGGGAGAGAGTGA